CTTATCATAGACTTCTTTACTGAAACTTACAGTGGCAAAATAATACGCAACACTTGATCTTAGCTATAACGGTACAGCACGTATCCGGGCCTTTAGGTCTAACATTTCAGCATATGTCAGCTACTTATCAGTGTTGGGCAAGTTACCCTGAATGTGTAATATATATAGGGATACAAATGTAATATATATGTATTACATTATTGTAAATTAGTTGAGTTACTTTTAGTCCTAATTATATTATACAAGTATTCTGCTGTTTCAAGAGCAGAAAGCTTTATTCCCCGTTTTATTTTACTTCAAAGATCATATTTTTTATGTTCATTAAACGGTGATAAGTCTAAATGCTCAAACGAACATGTTACTTGAGTTCATCTGATTCTACAAATGTTCAATTTTGCTATTTACTATTATTATAGTGATTGCTATCACTATTTACTATGTCTTTAATCATGAAATGTATTGAAGCACATCGAATTGAACTTTGGACAACAGTAAAATGTTTGCATCTTTTGTTGACAGTCTGTAGGACGACTAGACATACTTGAACTTGGACTTCCGGCAATACAGGTCTGAATTGATTTTTTTTCCTCTGCTTCCTCGGTTCTTGTCGGGGAACAAAGGAGTGTTGTGACAAAATGAATAAACCTAAAGCAGCAGATAACGTACCTGTGGGAGGATCATTATGGCAACCATTCGTGAAATATCCTCCAGATCCCTAAGATTGAAATTCAGGAAATTGTCAAGAAAGGGGAAAAAAACAACGACGTTTGCACGAGAATGTGATGCGCAGAATGACGCAGTCTAATAAACCAAAAGTCTACTTCAATTACTGCAGAACCGAGAGTTTTGACTGTTCTTCTATGCCCCACGTTGGTTTGGCACAGCCCCGCCTGATGCAGTAAACCCACTCTTCACCCACAAAGTGAAGAAGTTTCCAGTCTTTTCATAATAGTGATAATTATTAACTTTCACGTATATATGTATCCATATTTATTTATCTATATTTTTTTCTAATATACATATAGGCCTATAGGTTTACGCGCGGGCCAGTTTACGCACGGGTCGGTTTGGCGCATTGGTCAGAATGTCACTGTATCTGGACAAACAGTGTATATGCGTATAGTTGCGTCGCATTCAGCAAAGTATTGCTTCTCAAAGTGTGTTTATTTGCATCCCTTCTCTAAGTTTTTGAAATGGTGAGACTGTTTCCCTTCGATGGTCTAGTTTTTGACTTAGTGTACATGCAGTGATTGGACAGCACGCCCAAATCACTAAACATTCCATGATGGATAGGCTATGTCCCCATTCACGTTTATCAGAAACATCAGCACATGATCAGAAACAAGTGTCTGGCCCTGTTTTTAAACACACAAACATGATTCATGAACACACATTAGTAAACAAAACCAAAATCAGAAGGTACATTTTGAAGGTTTGTTGTAGTGGGTTATAAATACGATGTGATAAAACGCAAATCTCGAAGCTTGCTGTAAACTCGTTAAGATAAACGCAGTCGGTTTCAGCTGCTGGCGCACTACCTGCAGCTGTCAAACTGTGGACCTCGGCGACAGCAGCGGTATGTGCCCAGGAATCCACTTCACGCAGGTGAGATTTCCTCTTGAACATTCTGCATGAAACTGGAATCAGGTCAGATGTAACAGTGACTGCCCCGTTACTTCAAACTTTACCTTGAATAAAACAGTCTCAACTTCTGGGCTCTCGCATGTTATTGAAATAGTGCTTGGTAGACTGGCTAAAGGTATACTGCAGTTTGTTTGGGGATGAATCGTCCCATCCCCCACACTCTCACTGTATACGAGCTGTCTGGAAGAACATCATCTCTGACTGTCTGCTTATTTACAGCAACTTGTCGTGGCTCTTGTCAAATTTTGAGGAACTATTTCGAAACTTTAGAAATGCATCCGAACATCCATGCGGATGAGTAATAATTCTTGTTCTTCTTATAGTAGCATAATATATAGGATTTATAATAATATATGCATCACAGCCCGACTTCCAACTATTCCAAATACATTTAAATAAAAATAAAAAGAACAAGAGCATTAATGTAATTTGTGTGCGACTAAAAAGAGATTTTACATCCTGAAACAACTCAGAATCACTTTGACTGATGCCACCCGAGATTGCCTCAGATTATATGCAGATTTTATTGTACATTTGCAGAAATGTACAGAGAAGAACATTTCTTTTTGAAATATCAATGCAGTTGAGCTTAATCTGAATACAACTTTAGTTTATTTGCCATCCCGAAACGGACAAGGCTACGCGTGAGTGCTGTTTGGCTGTTTTTTTTAAAGGACATTTTTTTCATTCTGGGTTGATTATTGTTTCTAATGAGTAAAAACACAATTTAGTCCAATATATTCTACATTATCTATTGCTGATGCAACAATTTTGCGTCTTCTGCAAATACACTTTTCATTTAAATGTGAATTGACATAAAAAAAAATAAAAAAATATAATAGAATTTACTATAATAATAATAGTTGAGTGAACTATAATAATAATAATAATAATAATAGTAATACAATGCAGCAATAAAAGATTACATTGAGACGGAATGAGATTACATTGAGCTGTACGTAGCTGCAAATAATTCCTATAATCATAACCGTGCGATTGCTCTAACCTAATGATTTCTCCAGCCTTACACGCACTCGTCACGCAGCTTCTCTATTGCATCGAGTTAAATAATGAAAGAATTATTTCTCTCTCAAATAGTAGGTTCAGACTATTTTCAAAAATGTGTGTTTTCTTTCACCATACAGCAAAAATGCATCCTGACAAAAAATACTTTAGGCCCACAAAATTAACTTTTAAAGACACGCAGCAATTATTTGATGGTAAGGGTCCCCAGATAAGTGGTGTTTGCAGGCATACACTGGTGTGAAGTTCATTCTTGTCTGTCTAGACTCTCATTACGACCCTGTTTGTCTGCGTTTTTTACCTTGACCTTGGACTTCCGTGCAGCTGCCGTTTGGATGAGCTGTTTTCCTCGAGACAAAAGAAGTATGGGTCTTTGTAAAGGAGAGAAGGCAAACGTAAAAAAATAAAAATGTATTAGGTGTTTTTATTATCCACAAGCAGGTAACTCATAAAACATCTGATCAATCTGAAAATCTGAAAATCTCGACAAGATGGTGCATTGTCAACCAATATAACTTTCTGAAGTTTTTGACAATCTTTCAAGTGAAAAAGGATAAGCTTGTATTTATATCATTACAATACACTAAAGGATCCCTCCATATGCGTCTTGTTCAGTTATATCATTTGAAAAGCCCTCGCATCCAACCAACCCAAGTCTATGACGTTATAGTTTAACGCTTGGTTCGTATGTTGAAGGTTGAAGTCTGATGAGAGGCATGGAAAATCCTTGCTCCAAAGCTCAAAGAAATGTCGTGTAGTGAAATTTGTTCATAAACACACACACTTTTGGTATTCTATCATTTAATAGGCCTGTCCTTTAGCGTCCAAAGCATTTAGTTCAGTCTTACGTTTTGGAATATTAGTGCTTATAATGCACTTCTTCATCAAACCATCAGTGTTATTAATGATGATTATAATTACTGACTTAATAGTAGTTGTAGTAGTAGTAATAGTAATAGTTTAGTAGTAGTATTAGAATTCTTAGTGTAGTAGTAGTAGTAGTAGTAGTAGTAGTATAGTAGTTTTTAGCACATATTTAAGCCAGTAGTGTCTAGTGCGGGCAACATCCTCGTTGTTTTGCTCAAAATATACGTTTTACGCCCAACTGTGGGCGCTGCATGAACTAGACGGAGGTGTATGTTTTATTATTCAGATAAAGACAGATTGAACACGTGCGCTTTTTGAGGGTTTGGGAATGAATCGGATCACATGTGTGAAATAGTGAAATCTATATTTAAGAATCGAAATGTTCAGACTTTACTTGCTTTAAAAATAGAATACAAATAATACACTTACCCTTCTAAGATATTTTACAGAGGAGTTGTGCGTAATGGTGCGCACTATTCTCAGCGCGTTTTGTGCATTAATTACCTTACGAAAATAGCTTCTCACTGTAAATAATTACTACTTTGTTACGACCCGAAGGACAAAACCTATTTGGGACACAGAGACAGAGAGTTTAAAAAACATATTTATATGTTTTAGTTTTTAGGGTGTTTAGTTTTTTCTGATGAACTCTGATTTTCATCAATACAGAAAAAGAACATTCCTTATCGAATTAAAGTAAAATATTGGATTATATGTCCTTTACAATAAACCAAATAAACAATTTAACCACTTTGTAAACTTGTTTGTGGAAAAAAGGAATGATTGGAGGCAGTTTATTTATTTGCAGTTAAAAACCACAATTGAATATTACAAAAAAAACAGTATATTGTCACAGCAGAAGACAATACAAAACACACTACGAGTCCATGGGAAAGCATATGACAATATGATGCATACGTAATATTGTTATTATTATTATTATTATTATTATTATTACTATTATTATTATTTTCTAGATGATATCCATATAAAAATTATACAAATGACCCAAATTTGAACCGTTAGCTTACAGTATATGTAAAAACACAAATATTAGGAAAGAGCAAAAGCAGACAGTAAGTTTGTTTTAGCAGTGATACGTGTGAATGCATTATCTTCTCTGTCTGAGTCAGTCGGCCAAATACAATGGCGGTGTTCATTTTCCCTATAGCGAAGTGTCCAACTCCCCTTTAAGGGTGTGGGTCTGTGCGCTTTTGGCCAATGGCATGAGGCGCAGTTCTGCGGGAAATACTGTGACATGGGAGCCTCTGGGTCTTTAAAGGGCTGCTCGGCTCCTTCTCACAAACCCAATCTTCTAGAGTTTGTTAGCATATCACGTGCCAGATTCTTAATGAAGTGGACACACGGTGAGCTCGCGTGCGCATGCGCTTGGTGTAAAATGTAGTTGGAAATGAGGTGTCCGTCTTGGAGTAGTCGACTTTTAAAAAGCATCAGCAACCCCTGATATGACGACTTCGCTGGTTCTGCATCCACGCTGGGCGGACACGTTGATGTACGTTTATGAAAAAAACCCGAATGACAACGGCCAGAATAAAAGTCAGACAATGGAGGGACTGAGCGGCAATTGCCCTGCGACCCACTGCAGGGATTTGATGTCGCACCCTGCTCTAGGGCGACATTCTGGCACCATAGCGTCCCACCAGAGCTCCGTCTACTCGGATATTTCTTCTTCGGACTCTGGGCGACAGTGTCCAGCACCACAGACATCTAATGCATCTTTGAGCTATGGTTATCCCTTTGGAAACCCATATTACGGTTGCAGATTGTCTCATTCGCACAATGTAAACTTACAGCAGAAGCCTTGCTCGTACCATCCAGAAAAGTACGCGGAGACCAGCACGACGCTGCCCACGGAAGAACTTTCTACCAGAGCCAAAGAGTTCGCATTTTATCCCAGTTTCGCCAGCTCTTATCAAGCTGTTCCCGGTTACCTCGATGTGTCTGTGGTTCCCAGCATTAGTGCCCACCCGGAGCCGCGCCACGACGCCTTGATTCCCATGGAGGGCTACCAGCACTGGGCTCTCTCCAATGGCTGGGATGGGCAGGTGTACTGCTCCAAAGAACAGACACAGTCCGCTCATCTTTGGAAATCTCCATTTCCAGGTATGAATACAAAACTTGTATTTTCTATTGTCAACAGCACTCGCATCGCCCGAGTCATTATTATATCAGCTTGTAAATAAACTTTTGTTGTGTGTAAATTCACTATAAGAGAGCCAAAACATTGTAATTACCCTTTCTATGCAACAATGATTGACGTATGTGTTTCCTGTTCTTCTCTGTGGGTAAGGCTATTAATACACGAAATTGAAAGTGTAAATAAATACATGCAAGAAGTTGCCAAGTGTTATAGACGCGAAACATCAACATTGTTTAGAAATGCCAATAGGCTCACGGTTAAATATAATGTTGTTGTTTAATTCTCATTTAATTCATATTATCCAATATCTTACAGTTGCATTGCGCGCTCTATTTCTGTGGCCGACATATTATTGTTCTTTTTTGCATCTAAACAATTGAACAACTGCTCATGGTTAACCCACAATTTAATCAAAACCACGAAGATTCTTTGGAACTGTACCCTACTCATATGTGCATTAGCCTATATCAAGAAATAGTTAGAACCGCCAGTATGTCGTTTACAAAGTGTTTATTAGTGGATTTCTTTTACCGCGTAACTTTATTACCTGTGAAGATGTCTAGCTATTTTAATTTCAGATCGAGAAGCAGACCTTGACTGAACCTTACACAGGGTATGGCCTTGTTTTCTGAAACACACTCAGGCTCGGGCACAAAAAAAAACCCAAGCACGCGCAGTCACGTGCACACATGTCAGACGCGCGCTCTGATCGCTCACCTTATGTCACATATACATATATTCTAATTATCACTGTGACAATTACACCCTGGCCCCAGTTAAAAGTGTGTTATTACGTATAATAAGCAGTGCCTTAGTCATGCAGAAGTCTGAACATGATTTGATTGCATAAAAAAAAAATTCTTAAGGACTATCCCCTTAACACTATGCGATCTATACACTTGAAGTTGAATTAGCAAACTGGTATTTGTTTGTCAATTTGAGTTTAAGAATCACAGACTCATTTACATATGCTAAAAAACAATACAAGAATAACAAAATCGAATTCTATTAACAATAATAATTCTCCAGATTATTATGTTTGGTTATAGGCTCTGCTTCTGCACACAAATGTTGAGAAGTTGCAGGTGCACCACACCCGGCCCAAGACTACAACAGTCTTGGTCTCAGGAGCTTAGAAAATGTGATGCTTTTAATGTGATAGAATCAGCACAAATGTGAAGTCTCAACTGTTCTTCTTTCTCTTCTTCTGCAGATGTTGTTCCGCTGCAGCCTGAGGTCAGCAGTTATCGCAGAGGACGTAAGAAGCGTGTTCCTTACACTAAGATCCAGTTGAAGGAGCTGGAGAAAGAATATGCTGCAAGCAAATTCATAACCAAAGACAAGCGAAGGCGCATTTCTGCCGCCACGAACCTCTCAGAGCGGCAGGTCACCATTTGGTTTCAGAACCGACGAGTCAAGGAGAAGAAGTTTGTCAGTAAATCCAAGAGCAGTCACATGCACTCCACCTGAACACCGTGTTTCCTGAAAAACGAAACTCTTCCCCTTTTATCCCTGCCTATATTTACCTCTTGTATATTAAATTGTTGCTGTAAAAATGTAATTTTTTAGCACACTAACTTATCTTATAGGTCCCACATCGCCAGTGACCAGCCCCATTTGTTTTATGTGTAGATGCATCCTCAAGAACTGTGAAAATCACAAAACAGCTCGTCACATTTTTAATGAATGTACATATATAAATATATACTATTTAAAATATTATCTGTATTTCAAGAACAAGAACTGTGTGTTTATTGATGTATTTTCAAACCAAATTCTCAAAGAGACAATAATTTTTAGATTTGCAACATATTGATGTCTTTTTAGACAAACGATTGTCTTAAGAAAGAAGGTCTTATGTTCTCACAGTGGTTTCAGGAAAAGAACTCTCTAATCATCGTGTTTTGTGCAGTATAAGCCTGGGGCAATCAAAGGCTACTGTTGTTTATCTGTACAGTGCAATGCCTTTATTTAAGTCATCCTGTATTATCTGATAGTGAAATATGCATCCGTATGTTTTCATGTATGAAGGACTCTTCTGCATCTGGAATGATTGTAACATTTAAGTCAGTGAGTATTACAGTGCACAATCGTTTTTCTTTCGCATTTTGCGCGTTGTGTATGAAGCCTGTCATTACTTTGTCGCAGTATGTGCATTGTATTGTGGTGTTGAATTACGTACTGGTTACTTATTTCATAAATAAAAGATTATGCTGAATTCACATATTTGAGTCATTCATTGTGTATGGAATATGTTCTCTTCAAAGTGAAACCTTTGACCATTTTACTGACATTCTAAATGTCGTCAAGAAGTTTTATGTTTTTTAAATGAGTTGAGATTATGAGCGCCGTGGAGTCATATAAATACTTTGTCACAATAGCTTTTAAACAGTCCACATAAAAAAGCATCAACTTGTGCACGTTATAACCGATAGGGGCCTATCTGTTGCTTCACCGTGAACAAATGTGTTCATTTTGAAACGGTGAAAGGAAATGGTTTAAATACACAATACCTTAAGACAATACATATTATGTTACTATCTTTGAAAATATTTACCAGAAATTAAAACTACAGAGTGGAGAACAAAAGTAGTAAGTTCTGGTGCCATGCGGCAACTCAGCGCTGCTGCGGTCCACAATTTGTATGTTCAATGGCCAAACTAAAAATATTGGCCTTTTCACATATTTAGTGTATTCAACAATGTGTGTCTAATTTCATTTCGTTCTAAATAATTTGTAAACATTAAAAATATAATTCAAAATGGCCGGTTAATTTCAGAGTTGCAGATCCAAACTACTGGGCATCATCCCCTGGCAGATGTCTTGTTGCACTTTTCGTTTTGGGACCAAAGCTGGAACAGCTTTCTCAGCAGTGACTAAAGTTTACCCTTGACCATGACTATGCAGTCACTTTGACCTTGACATCTGCACATTGAGAATAATAAAAAGAGGGCTGGACATTGATGCCGGCGGTTTGTTTGTAGGCAAACAAGGTGTTATTTGGCTGTCTAGACAGCCAGCCTAATGGCATGCCATAAATGCATAAAGAAAGGGAAGTGATCGTTGAGCCGCATCTCTATTTACTATAGCTGGACATTAACATTTGTACTTTTTTGTGATTTTGCAGAAAGTCCTGTAAAAGTGGCCCGGGCCCATAATCCTGGAAGCGCCAATGGCCATCACGAGCTGTGCGTTATGGGGAAAGGTAGGACTTTGACGCCTCACAGCAGAACCACTGTCGTCACTTGGCAGGCGCACTGGACATGAAAAAGCCCACTCCATCGTCCCCCTGCAGGTAGGCCTTTACCTTCAATGCCTTATTGCCTTGCGAGGAGAATAGACTTTAGAATACCCTGTGATGTGCCTAATTACCGCAGTGTTAAGTAGAGATGAATTACAGTTAGGCTGTATTCTGAGATATGCATGTGTACTAACAGATATAGCATAATATTTGAATTTGAATTAAATTGTACGCTGCCTATAGGCCAACAAGTTCGCAAATATGCCAGGCCTACAGATAATAGATCTATCAATAGATATCGCTATAAATAAAATTGTCCCTTTTCATTAACCTAAAGTTCAACAAAACAAACAAAATTCAACAAAAAACAGTTTGGTTTTATATAATTTCACTTCTTCGCAAGGAAACGTGCTTGTCTAATAATTTGCAAATAGCTGTATAAATACATCTTTTAAGATTGTCTATGGCAATAATACATAAATTGACCGTATACAAATAATAAAATTATTGAAAAGACTATATACAATCCAAAGAAAAGTCCCTTCCCGCCACGACAGGGCTGAGGCCACAGAGCTGCAGAGACAGGGGGATGATAGCCTCTGCTGGTGACCAGAGGAAAAGATCAGGAAGTGAACTTCAGAGGCTCGGGCTGCTACGCTTATACGTGCATTGTTTTGTCACTACAACTACTACTACTTATAATAAACTATTACTACTACTGCTACTACTACTACTACTACTACTACTACTACTACTACTACTACTACTACTACTACTACTACTACTACTACCACTACACTGTACTACCACACTGCTTCTACTACAAATATACTTCTATTGTAGATGTTTCGTTGCCACTTTTGCAAAAAATAATTGGCCGAAAGGATCATTGGACTATAGAACAATGTAAAATAAAGTATATTAAGTAGCCTATTTAATTATTGGTATGGAATTTACATTTTTTAGTTAACTCAGACTTATTTTGAACCTGGAAAGATATGATTTAAAATTGTAAATTTTGAAATAAATTTAAATACAAATGCATTCTTTATCCATACTAGTGATATATTTAATGTGGTTATATTTATCTGTATGGATTTATAAAGGCCACTTCGAATATAACTCGTCCCCCATTGGATATTTTGGTATTGCGCACATGCAGGACAGTTGGAATAAGGAGCACACAAAACAAAAATATATACATTTTAAGTTATGCTTATCTTTAGTTTTAAACTCTTCAATATTGTTTAGCTTAGGTATAAACCTTCTTAAGTGACAAAAATATAAGTATGTTAAACATATCAGTTCACATTATATATATTTGTTTGGTCGTTATAGAAATGCAATGCTCATCACTTGGCCGCAATGACAAATGTGCAGTCACGATATGGTACATTTACATGAATAGAAAGGGTCAAATAACGAGGAATGTAATTCGTATATTTGGCAACTAATTTTCAACATAATTTAAACAAGTGAGATCACTCTGGTTACCCTCGCACAGTTTATATTATGATTTCACATATGTAAATCGCAGATCGCAGAAGAGGTTCAGACCAATATTTGCAGTGATGATGAATATATATATATATGAGAAATATGCAAATGAGAAATATATAAACGAACATACATATATATATATATATATATATATATATATATATATATATATATATGTATATATATATATATATATATATACATAAACATAATATTTATTTATATTTATATTTATTACGTGTGTGTTTGTGTGTGTGTGTGTGTGTGTGTTTGAACTTCCCTTCTGTGCCTGCACAGACTCATTGGCACAAAATGGGAAGAAAAGCTCTTTGTTTGCGTTATTGCTCTGTCTGGACAGCACCAGTGAACTCCATGCGGGTAATCCAGAGTAATGAGATAATGAGACAGGCGCTGTGGACTAGACAGTGACCTTGACTTATAAAGTGCATCCTGTATTATTTCAAAATTAACCAATGCAGGCACATATTATATGTGACATCACCATTATATACTCCACATGAGCGGAGGTTCTGCTCAAACATCACAAATGTGACGCACACAGAGCTGCATGAATATAGACGAAGGAGAAAAGTGTCGATAATGCCTTTTTAACATGCAGTGGCATACAGTGACAGATATAGTGAAGTATTTGGCTGTGACCTTAGCCATGTCATGGCTGCAGTATCAAAAAGTGGTGAGTTGCAAATGAGAAATATATAAACGAATGCTATGTTCTCACATAACGCTTCCTTAGCATATCAGAAACACGCACAGTCTTTTCAGTGCCCATGCGCGAGGCGTCATAAGAATACAAGGACACATTGATTATATTTTGAAGAAATATGATAACATTGCACATTTATTTGAAATGTATAGACCATATATTTTATTCCCTTTTGTGGTGTTTTTGGTGATTGTATAAGGCTAAACCAAACCTTTTATTTACTCATTTTTTGTCGCATAAATCATTTGTACATTATTTACGTTAACCTTTCGGATCCTAATCAAGTTCACGGCAGCGCCTGTTTGAGCATTTTTGTCATGATTCTTACAGAATTGTGTGCAATATGCTAAAGGTTCTTTTGAAGAAAAAAGAGGCTATAATTTCTGATAATGTATTATTATTTTTCATTCATTCACACCCCGCTCCCATCTCTGTGTGGAGTGAGAGGACAAGTGCCCAAAAAATAACAATTGTAAACCGCTTTGTGACTCTGGTCTGTGAAAGGCGGTATATAAATAAAGCTTACTTACTTACTTACTTACTTACTTCTGTCTATTTTTTGTTTTTTTGGACTGTCAATTTGAGTTGACAAATTAAAATCGCATCATACGTGTTTTCTGGCTCTTTGTTGAAGAAGGGGTGAAATGAAAATTAACAAACTAAAACAATCCCATTTGGAATAATATTTTCATTTCTTCTTGGTAATGCGTAATTACGCATGCGCGCTATGTTCTCTTGCACAATTGTGCACATTGTACCACATTTTTGTTAAGTTTGATATTATGAAATTGTTAAAAATAATGTTCTATATAAGATAACTTCATATTAAATCCACTAATTAGTTGGTCACCGTAGTTCTATTAGGCCTTTTACTTATCTTATACAAAAGGCTACAGTAAGTGTTAGCACGCAGGTAAACAGACTGGTTGTAAGCTGATAGAATCAGTATAGTGCCCTCAGATATCTTGTAAAATTCACATAAAAGAATTGTGAGATGTATAACAATCCCAGCAGAGTTTGGCTGCGAAAGTTTATTGGAGTTATCTGTTAAAGTTGTTCATGTGAGGTGTATTAGAGAGCATAATGTGAAATAGACCCTCTTAAAGTAGCCTTGTAGAATCCCGTCTTGTTTTACAGAGCCACTGGTTCAACCTGCTGACCTTCTTACTGTAAATACGAGAGGAGTGTGGCAACGAGCAACGCTCTTTTCTTAAAACAAGCTTGTAAAATTTGTACAATTCAGCTTTATATGACATCAAATACACCTATAATATGCAAGAAATCAACTTGTCACCCACACATTAAGGCAACTTTAAGAACAACTGTTTTAATAAGAATTCACATTCTTGAAACTACTTGGTTCATAAATGTCTTAAAGAGGCCATGGACAGTTGTTGCAGCTAAAGAGACAGCTCTGTGAGGAAAACACGCTTCAACATTTTTAATAAAAGCTTTATTGTATTTTTAAAAAGCATATAAAGCTCTGTAATACAGGAGTTAATGTTTTGTTTTGTCTGAGACGGACAAAGTGGGTGGTTCCATTTGTATCTGAAGTTCGCCTTGTCACGTGGTTCAAAACTGACCAATAAGGCGCCCCTCCAGGTTTAACTATGTTAAATGTCAGATTGCAATAAACTAGAAGCTGTTGGTCGGGCCCGCGGAAATGGGCGAACATAATCTTCTTAATCCCGGGTTTGTGGGACCTTTGGTAAACATCCACACCGGAGACACGTTTTACTTTCCAAATTTTAGAGCTTCTGGGGGACAGCTGGCGGGGCTACCGTCTCTTTCGTACCCGAGAAGGGACAATGTTTGCTCCCTCCCGTGGAATCCTTCGGAGCCGTGCAATGGATACTCCCAATCCTACTTTAGCAGCCAGGTTTCTATTAACCCCTCTTTCAATCGCTCTTGTGAAATTAGCAGACCAGACGAGGGCAAGTGTTATTACAGCAACAACAGCGGCAGCAGGGAGACCTGCTCAGGTGGCAGCAGCCTCAAGCGCGAGGACAGGGTGAGAGACTCTTCATCCCTCTCTGACCACGGGATGCACGCAGGGATTGGTACCGCAGTTCCCTTTTCCAAATATGATTACGGAAGCGAGCAGCTCACACAAGACCCGCCATCCTGTCAGTCACTGGAGTCCGACTCCAGCTCGTCTCTGCTCAATGAGAGCAGCAAGCCTTCCTCCAGCGACACACAGACCCTGGTGTCACCGGGAAGCCATTCGGGCACCATAACCACTGGCACAGGAGGTGGGTGCGCGCCGTCCGCTTTATCTGTGCACGTTTTGCATGCACTCAAATCATTTCATAGCCAACGCTATGCGCTTAGTATATATTGTACAATGGGATGCTTGTTTTGTATCCTGCAGGACGCTGGTGCACGAACGCCACTAGGGGCTGCCCTATAAATCACCACGTACATATGATTACAGTTTTAGACTGTCAATACAAAGGAATCAACCCATAACCTGTAATAGCAACCACTTTTCTCTTTGACGAATTAATTCAGTCTATAATATTATTACATTTCTTAGACAGTAGGGGCATGAGAGCTGCGCGTGCATGTTGGAAATTCTTAACTTGTAAAGCAATTTGTTATCTGTTGACTGTATTCAACAGTTACACATCAGTCCTTAACACACTCTGCATCACCATTCATAATGATCTATCATATCTGCATATGAAAGCCACTTATAGAAACATAGTCTGTATAAAAACGTTCAGTCACATAAAGGCATTGCCCACTACATAACAAGCATTGAATATGGGTCAACAGGACCACAACTTCTCACACAACCTTGAGGGTGACCGTGATTTTGAAACTGCAATTATTCTCCCCTCCTCTCCCCAAGGTGCTCCGTGGTACCCGATGCACACCCGGACCAGAAAGAAGCGTAAGCCCTACTCCAAGCTGCAACTGGCCGAGCTTGAAGGTGAATTCATGTTGAATGAGTTCATCACGAGACAGCGGCGGAGGGAGCTGTCAGACCGTCTGAGTCTCAGCGACCAACAAGTCAAGATTTGGTTCCAAAACCGCCGGATGAAGAAAAAGAGACTCATGTTGAGAGAGCAAGCTTTGGCCTACTTTTAGGGATGCGGCAGAAGGCGAATCGATGGGCAGTAAACAGCCCAGCCTTCTCCCATAGGTGATATTTCAATGCATGCTCTCATCTATCCGCATTTTACATTACAGTCTTTTGTTACAACATTTAAAGGTGTTTTTATTGTACAGACTGAAAATAAGCCTCTATCTGGCATACAGGAGCAGTAGAATTATCCGCCATGATATTGGCACATGTGACACTGTGCAGAATCCAACTCCAGGTGAATGGTCAGTTGATAACACAGTGCATGGCTTTACGCTGAGAATGTAAACACCATTCCGCTACACTTACTTTGTTTACGAGTGCTTCAAATAAACAATATCAATATTTCGAGTTCGAAGTTGCTACTTTGAGCATACCTCGCCGTGGAAACGGGCTTGCAGGAAGTCCCACTTTCTGTGACAAAACAAGCAAACAAAGATGAATAAAAACAAAAAAATAAAAAAATAAAGTGCCGACTCTTCTAGAACCCATTTCAACACCAGTCAAACAATCTCGCAAACGTTCATTTGTTTGGACGATCATAAAAAGCTGCTATAGGTCAGTTTGTGTCAGTCACAAACACGAAATAAACTTGCTTAAGCTGGAGAATAAAGAGGCCAGTCTCAACCTCGGTGCTATAAATATGTACAAATATAAAAGGTGTGCGCCATGACATGACTATAGCAGTGACTGCAGCATGTTATCGATGTGAAATGAAAGCTTTTTTGTCCCTTTTCAATAAATGCATATCCAATCCTAATATTTAGACTTAACAGTCAGTGCAGAATGTAGGCCTGTTGTTATTTGTTACTATGATTCAATTTATTAATGTCATTACATCATTATTATTAGGCCTAATAATAACTGCCATAGGCCTTTTCAATTTTCCTTAATCCTTGCATTGTGCTCAGTGTTGCCCCTCTTATCATGTATTGTGTAAAAGTAAATGGCACATGTTACTATTTGCATTTAGGATTCCTTATTGCTGTGTAAAAGTATTTTGTACAATATCGCATTCCATAGGCTGCACATGCGTTGTTGTAAGAGTTATAAGTAGGCATAATAATCTTATACCGCTAAAATATTAATAAGAGTGGTATATAAATGTATCATTTATTACGAAATGCGATCTTTGTGTTGTTAATGTTTTGGTCCCTTTTGCATTCCCTCCTTTGCGCTTATGAGGATTGCAACATTGTGTTGTAAGTGTTATGAACATGAATGTATATGCGTAAGATGTTCAATAAACAGATGATTGAAACACCAAATATTGGTTTGTTACTTAAACATGTCCTTTTCAAATATTTTCGAGATTTTTCTCCAGTGGCGAAATCATTTATTGACGGACATGCGAGGTTGGTCTTTTTGGTCTGATCTGACGCCATGTCCAAATGCATGATCGTGAGGCCATATTAAAGCTAAAGTCCGTTTAGCTTTCCTGAAGGATGGAGGCTGATGGCAATGTTTCGATGATACACGTTTGTGTTGACATCTTTCTTCTTACTTGAGCAAAATCAATGACAATACAAGCCAATAACGGCGAAATAGCTCACAACAGCGCTGTTAAACAGTTATAGGCAGGGCTACACCAAATACACATGGGTTTTGACCTGACTTCTCGCTGTCCCTCATTGCACAACGTTTTTGTTTTACTAACATATTTGTGTGTGTGTGTGTGTGTGTGTGTGTGTGTGTGTGTGTGTGTGTGTGTGTGTGCGCGTACTCGCAGATACACATGCATAAATACAAACATACAATGTATGACTTACCTGCACTGAAACATTTTATTGAAATTAAAATATCTAATTTTGACTGACATTATGTTCTTCCCTTTAATCTTTTGCAAGGTTTAACCACAATTTGAAATACAGCAGATGTATAGGTAGAGCTAGGCCTGCTGTTGACTATAGACTTGTTTTTCATAAGGCCTTGGACAATATTGCACCGTGGACTACAAGCAAGCAAAAGCCATACCACATTATACAGTAACTTTATAATATACGATTTACATTTTCAGGAGCTATAGCTAATTCGACTTATGCGTGATTTCCAATACATTTACGTAGCCATTGAACTAACAGCACCAGCCTTCCGACGCGCAAATGAAACAGTTAGTTTAATTTCTATTTCTCTCACAGAACAAATGCACAGACCGCGCCATGGAACACGTTTTTTTTTTTTTTTCACCAAAGTCAAACGCGTTAAAGGCGTTCGAATTCGGGTTTAACGACGTGTTCGTTTGGCGTTCGTGAGCTAGTAAATGTGTGAAACCATCTTATAACTTGAACTTCAAATTGAACCCATTTGATGCACAGACCCTGGGAAACACAAACGCAACTCCCTGTTTTCGAGTTAATTTTTCTGTGCGCGCATTTTCTTTTGTGCGCGCATAGAATTTTATTTTGTGTTTTGTATCGTTGCATCAGTCCCATCCACTTATTTTAATTTACCTATTGTCTTTATGCTCTATGTCTGGCCTAGAACTAATCAGTGAATGCACTTGAGAGGAATTCAGCACATTTGACGCAGCAGAGCCAGACAAATCCGCTCTTTACAATTGGTCTATGAATGCTCCTGGGCACTTTTGACTTTGAGACTGCCTAAATCTCTTTATGGCGTCCTGTCTCCGCGCCGCAGAGGTCAGAGAGCTCCACAGTGCCCTTCGCAAAGAACTTGTGTGGTATGTTGCCTCGCTCCCCCGCCACCCTCTGCCGTTTATGGTTCGAAGCTGCTCGGAGAAATAGGAAGCGGTGTTATTTCTGTTAAAGTGCATGGGGGTGAAGATATGGTGAGGATACGTCTTCGCCTGAGAGTCCAGAGAGCGTGCAGTGTTGAATTCGATAAAAGAAAGGGATATCTCCGTATACATATAATAGCGGCAACTGTCTACCGAGTATTGATTATGATATAATTTGAAATGACTCCTTTATATGCTCTCTCTCGCTTTTTTGGATCAATTTTGTCATTTTTAAAACTGTGCAATTTATTGTAAGCTTGAATTATTTCATTGGGCCATTGGAATTAAATCAAATGTAGGCTAAAGAAATACCAGTGTGGTTTGGTGTATATTGTTCGGGGCGTCGTTCGTTTTTTACAGATTGAATGTGAGGGATTGAATGGGTGCATATGTGTGTACGTGTATGTATGTGTGTGTGTGTGTGTGTGTGTGCATGCGTGTGTGCGTGTGTGTGTGGGGGTGCGTGTGTGCGTGCGTGCGTGCATATGAGTGAGTGTGTGTGTGTTGGTTCGTCTTGTTTAATTGTCACCTGATACTGATCCCATATCCAAAAATATGAGCCCTTGATGTATCAGAAGTTCTGATTTGTTGAAGAAGCCTTTATCCATATAAGGTATAATGGCTAAAGAGGCACCTTAAAGGGGCATTTTTTGAGTGTTGCGCTTCCGTCATTTTTTCATCCTTGGAACAGATATTTTGTAAATGTTCAATGTTCAAGAATAAAGCGGATATATAAACTCTGAAGAGTCTTTGTAATTGATATACTGTTAATTTCGGTAGCAAGAGGAGCATACTGATTATTGAGAATAATATTGAGTTACTATATATATATATATATATATATATATATACTGATTATTGAGAAAATGTAAATATATATATAACTGTATGTAATAACTGTATTCTCAATAATTTACTTACAATTGAACTTTTCTGTATACGCTCCATTGACACGGTCTCCATTGCTGTTGGCTGCAGGCCATAGACGATTATTAACGCCGCACATTTGCTGTTGATGTTATTGAATATCTTGGATACATTGTTGCACTGATATTTGCCGGGGGCATCTCCTCATTCTTTCCCTGCGCATCCTTTCACCTGTATTGTTTTATTTAATCAGCTGACACTTGAAAACACCAACAATTTCGTCCAATCTGCAAATATTTGATTTCACTTTTCACTGCATCACATTTATTTGGGATAAACGGCATTTTTGCCACAGACGGACAGGAGCCAACTTCAATTTTTGTACTTCCATTTTAAAACCAGATGTTTTCTAAATCTGAGATGTTTTAAAGTTGAATTACACTAAAATAATAATAATAATGATAGCTTATGTATAATTAATACAGTCTATTGCATACAGAAACCTGCATTATTTATTGTTTTCCTTCATATTCTTTCATGTACGAAGTTTTAAATTGTTTGTCAAAAGCAATGTTTTGTTAACACTCATAACCACTGCCTCTCTTTTATAGGCCTATACTTCAAATGCAAACTTAACAAACATGGAAGCTGTATATCCCCTGTTTAAAAGTTAAACAGGCCTATACAAAAACAAAAACTTTGCCTGAATGTAACAATATACGCTCTGTCTTATACGTTTCATTGTGTATAAAACCTTTAAAGTATATTCACAGCGATGTTTAACTATACCGCCTTACATCCAATTAAAGTAGGCCACAAGTGCAGAGAATACGGATGTTTTTGGTAGCTAGGCTGCGTCTTATCACGCACAGTTTCCTCGTGCATGTGGTGAGGAGATATATCAAATTCACAGCCAAAACACATTTGACATTTTTTTTTCTTTTGTGCTCACTCCAAGATGACCAAAAGTGATCATGGTGCGTGCACGAGCGTGTTAGTCCGTATGTAAATATTACTGTAAACTTTGTAAAGCCCTTACAACTAGCAATATAAACTTATTTAAGGGCATGCACACAACTAGCATATAGAATTCATCCTAATAATATGGACCCTAACACCTCAGCTGAGGACTTTAAGCACAAATATTTTAATATATGTTTATCATGCGCGACTGAAAAGAATCGTATCTTATCTGTGTAGCCAATGCTTTCACCGTGAAATAATAATTTAATAATAATTCCAATAATTTGAATATGTGTTTTATTTCTACATGTAACCTTGTAAGTATTATTTGAAGATTTTTAACTCATTCTCGAGCGCTATGCATGTGCCGCTGGCTGCACACGTGATCCTCTCTGGGTCCTACTGCCTGCGGGATTTTGTCCTCTGTAGACTAAACGCATAATCACCATTTAGGAAAAAACCAACACAAACAGAAACAACATTCTCGTGGTTCATGTCACGGATAATGAACACTGACTTGAAGCACTTTGCTACAACACGAGCCACAAAAGCGTTGTTTACACTTTAGCCCGAGTAGGCCTGAAGGAGATATACACATGACCAACAGCCCTGTGCTCTGTCTCCAACAGCAGAGACTAGAGATATGAAACACATGGAAACATATTTAGGTTCCATATTACTATGTATTTATACATACTTGTTATGAAACAAGTCCCAGCGCATTTTCAGTCTCTGCAGTTTATATGTGATAGATTTTTAACACCAACTATTTAAAATGAAATATAAAACTTTGATTCAAACATATAAATGAATACATTTGATGAAACAGCATTTGCGTAGACACGCACACACACGGAAAATTCCTTTCATTCTGTCGTTTACTGTTTTTTAAAGAACAAAGGAATTTTGCGTTACTACTGCTATTGGGAGTTTTATGGTGGATACAGAGAAGTTTTTAGTGGTCAAATTCAAGTGCTGTGTCTGGACAGCTGTCTGCTTTCTTTGTACTTGGATGCAGGATGCACCATGTGAGTCAACCTTTTGTCTACAGGGCAGTAGTCTAATGCCAACGCCACCTTTGGAGTCAGGAATATTCTTTGTCACCGCCTCGTATTTTTTGCAACTAAATCATCAAAAGTGTAATATTACTCGATTTTTTTAAAACATAAAGTCTTAGTCATTGGATTATTAATCAGTTGGATGATGGATAAACAATCGTCCGTCATATCACTTTCACTCTGTGATAAATACAGCCCGCAGCAGGACAATTAATAGTTTACAAGGATTCAGGAACCAACACTATATGCTCTCCTCCTCATATTTTACTACAATTTATTAAAAACGTATTCAAGTGGACATGCGTGTCACAACTGTAACCAGATACAAGTCGTCTAGGCTTATATCTGGTGGGAAATAACATCTTTTGATTATCTTGAAACATCAGTTGGGACGTATTTAATTTTAGAGGGACGTGGGGTGGCTTTAAACAGGCCTGTTGGAGTGGCCTATAATATATAAGTAGCCGTTTACAAGAAGCCTCTCCTCGTGCGTAAAAGCACAAAGTCGCACGCATCAGATCCATTCAACAGTTATGCGGTTTATGCAGTAGCTTTACACGTTGCTGCCGTGCTTATTTTACTTGTAATGTTAGCTGAGACCCTAACTGTGTGTGTGCTAATCGTCCTTCTGTCAAAACGACCCTACAACAGAACGTTCAGTCACATAGAGATACAGGTGTATTCTGTAGGCCTAATTTAACGTGTTGGCTTAATTTTACAAGACACAAAGTGTCGAAAAAGGAAGCAAAATGGCCCTGTGTTACAGGTGCCTCGTACGACTGCGACAGCCTTAACGGGAATTTAAACGATAAAAATAAATCTGAATTCACAAACCACAATGAGAAAGTGTCCCGCGGAGTATGCACACAAATGACTCCTTCCCTGTGATTTTGTGAAACACTAAAATGTGGATTGAGCTCATGGGACTGATTTTGATTCCCTTTAACCAGTTTATGCCGTTATTGGGCCACTATTCACGAACTGAATTACCATTTCCTCCTTCTATGCCAATGTCCCTACTGTAAATAACAATACTTTTAATGTTATTGTTGTGAGAATTGGCTCATTGCTATACACACTTTAGGGTTTAACCTTGTGCAGTTAATACAACTTTAAAGCAATGTATAATAACATGTCATAACATATCACAACAAATTTATCTTCGAAAGTAATCCTACAGTGTTCAAATCATGAAATGACAGCAGAATACTGTGCAGAGCAGTGTGAGTTTAGCACTTAGCACAGAGCTAGCCCCCAGCAGTAGCAACAGCGCATTAACATGAGCGCAGCACAAATGTGTAATATTGTAATAAGCGCCAAAGACTCATGTGTTCCCAGTGTTCTTGGTGCATCTGTGGTGCTCAAAAATCATTCGTTTGAACCACATATATCTTACCTAAAGCCAACCACTCCTACACATCCAAGTCCTCCAAATTGATATATGACAATATCTACTTTCGATCACGTGTCTGCGGGGCGACTTAGACGGATTGCGCGTCATCTCGCCTTCCCAAAATTTCCCCTTCTGCTGCAGCTCGTATCCAAAACATCTATCTATAGTGCGTTGTACGGGAGAGAGAACGATGTTTAACTCGGTGAATCTGGGCAACTTCTGCTCCCAGACTCGCAAAGACCGGACATCCGAGTTTGGGGACAGGACGGGCTGTGCGTCTAACATCTACCTCCCCAGCTGCACCTACTACGTCCCAGAGTTTTCTGCCGTCTCTTCGTTTCTTCCGCAGGCCCCGTCCCGGCAAATCAGCTATCCTTATTCCACTAACCTCTCCCAAGTGCAGCCAGTACGAGAAGTGTCCTACGGCTTGGACCCTACCAGTAAATGGCACCACAGAAGCAATTACGCATCGTGCTACTCGGGAGAAGACCTGGTGCATAGGGACTGTCTTCCACAATCCACCATGACAGAAATGCTTATGAAGAACGAGAGTGTATACAGCCACCACCATCACCATCACACCCACCCCGGCTCCAATCATCCCTCCACTGGATTTTATTCCGGTGTTGGAAAAAATAACGTCCTCCCGCAAGGTTTCGACCGCTTTTTTGAGAGCGCGTACTGCGGCGCCACGGACAATCAGTCAGACAATTGTTTACAAAAAAGCGAGGGGGCGAAGCTGGAGAGTGACTCCCAACAGCAGCAGCCTCCAAACTCTGTAGCCGGAGCCGCGGAGCAGGACAAGGAGCGAGACAATGAGGAGGAGCATTCAGCCTCTTGTGCGTCTTCTGCCGCAGCGACCAAGGACGCGAGCCCCAGCAAGAGCAGTCACTCCAGTAGGTATACCGAAGCTGTAAAATGGGGAAGGTTAAGGGGACTAGCCCGGTGTTTTGTCGGTCAGATTTTATGTGGAGTTTTATAAGCATTCAAAGGATTTTATTATAACCCTACAAAGCTCTTTCTTGCAACGAGAAGAATTTTTACGATGGGAAAGCGCTTTGAAAAAAGGGGGATGTTATACACAGACGCCTCTATGGTGAGAGTCTGTAAAATTTTTAAGAGAAAGCTATTGTGACAAATGTTAACTTTGATCATGAACTTGCGTAGGGCATTTAAAGGGATATTCTCGTTGGGTTGTCGAGGGTAAAAACCAATTGGGCAGAACATTGCTTTTGGCTTCTTGTGATATTTTTTTTTTTTTTGGCACTTAGCTGCCCGCAATAGACACACAGTGTTTGTTATTAGATTTAGTATTTTCTACTCACTAGAGACAACTATCATATGTTAAATATTTTTGATCAAATTCAACAGTTTACATTTAAATATTGTGGTCAAACAACAGATGAGTGCGCAACTATCTCATGTTTCTGTGTTCTGAAATATTGAGTATATTCTCTCTATGACACATACAGGCTAAATACCTATGCTTTATAAATAATAAATACAATGAAAATGTATCAGCCTGCTAAGAATTTCAGTAAGAAATATTAACCCACGTCTAAATATTGTGTAAATAGTTTTCTCCAGAGGAATGTGACGCATGCAAGGCGACGGAATAAATGTGTTGTTACATATTCATAACAAATAAACACATACTTATATTGGTGTAATAAGACTCAGCAGTTCAAACATGCCTACTTAACACTTTTTATGGCTCTTGTGGCATTGCTGTATAATGTGTAGTGAAATGTTTTTATTGACACTAAAGCTGATTTCCTTGTTTGGAATTGTCTTGGGTCAAACATCAATAGACATTCACGCCATCTTTAAATGGTTGACTATATTGAGTATTATGTTCTGTCTTTTTAGGCGCTCCTCGAACAAGAAAGAAGCGGTGCCCATATTCCAAGTTTCAGATCCGAGAACTTGAGCGAGAGTTCTTTTTTAATGTTTACATCAACAAAGAGAAAAGGCTCCAACTTTCCCGAATGCTGAACCTCACCGACCGCCAGGTTAAAATCTGGTTTCAAAATAGAAGAATGAAAGAGAAGAAATTAAGCAGAGATCGCCTCCAGTATTTTTCTGGAAACCCCCTTTTGTGAGTTGAAAATGTCAGCTCAGATTAAAGACATAAAGGTATATAAAGGCATACACTCCTCTCCCATGAATTGTATCCTTTGGGCACAGCCATTTTGTAAAGAAGCCCATGCACCATGCGTGCACAGCAAGTGGACAGTCGGTGTCATGCTTAGGCCTGCATGGGATGAAAGCGCAATCTCATAATAATCCAGAGAGGTCTCTATAGAATACTCATTTGATGTGGCTGTTGAAGTTGTCTATTCATAATGTGTTTACTCTGTTCTCATGGACTCGTTAAATATCTAATGTAGCCCTCATTGTGCATATTCCTCTCGCTAACCCCCTTTTGCCTGGTCTTTGTAAATATATGGAATTATTTCCAGACCAGTGTTATGGAAGTTTTCTTATTTTTTCATTGATAACTGTGATATTCATGATGTGAAATTATAACGAATCAACCATTGTGCATCTGAATGTAAATAGGCGTAAATAGCCACGGCGCTTGCCTCTCTATATACAATTCAACAAACGCGTTTTAAATTATTTGTTTCAGTGTTGGTTGCTTCGAAGCATTGGGAGGAACTTGTCCCATACATGTAAAACACATGAAATAAATGTAAAGGTATAGTAAAATCACACCGACTTTGTGAAATTTGTGTTCACTCTCCATGTTACACCTGAAACCGTGCAGCTGAACATTTTACACTCCGTCTATTTTAGAGAGAACAAGTTATAACTTAAAGAAACATTAGTTTTGCTCACATTCCTGCATAGATGAATGAATTACTTTAACATTTAGCGTGCACTAGACACTCTTGTCTAGACACAACCATAAAGGCAGAACACTAAATGGCTACTTTTTCTCTTAATTGCCCCGTCTGTTCAAGGGGAATGCTGTTCACTTCCGCAGTCAATAGTAAACAAGACTGTATGTCCAAAGGGGAAAAGTTGCCCAAAGTCAAACGCCCTAAACCGTGACTACAACATGAACAGTCTGAGGTTATGGAAGAGGGATCATAGTGTTCTTCTATCTGATCCTTCCCATTTATGTAAATGTTTAAATCCTTTTTTTTTTTTTTCGGACATTTATCATTATATGAACAATGTAATGAACAAGCATTTTCATAAACTGATCAAATAAAAACATAATACAATATTGGAGCTAAATTATGACAGTTAAGTTTGAGTTTGATTAATTGTTAAGAAAAGGCTCGAGTGTCCAATGGTTTTACAAGAAGAAAGTCTTCAATGAAAACTGTTGTACTTTTACGCACAACTTCATCTTATTTATCATCTGCTGACATATCAAATAAAGTATGTTGACTAATTGGAGTGTGTGTATACACACACACACACACACACACTCCAAAGCATGCATATATATATATATATATATATATATATATATATATATATATATATATATATATATATATATATATATATATATATATGCATGCATATTACATTATATAGAAATGTAATGGAAATGTGTAATGTATGACTCATCACTGCGATATTTGGTCTGCTATGTGAACTTATAAACTGTGCGAGGGTAATTTTGATTTGACAAAAATTACAAATGAATCTAGGGCCTATATTTAGAGAAGTTTGCACGTGTGCATTCTCTTCAATTTATAATTAAATCTAGTCTTTGAACTTCAATAATGTCAAGGCCTTCACCTTTAACCCATTGCAATAAAGCGGAATCAAGGAGCCCAGCCCCATTTGCCCGGAAATGTGTGCCACGGTGAAACTGACCAATGGGATCGAGTGGGAACAGAGCAGGAATGTGTAGAGAGTCCAACTTTGACCCTTCGCGTTAAACTACTGCAGGTAACCCGCCAGCTTTAGCGCGCCCAGTAAATACACTTTATTGTGCTTGTAAAATGTTGTATAGCTTTACGCATGAAACGTTTTAAAACGTGTTGGTATACTGTACTCCTAATTATCAAAAGAGAAAAAGAAACATCGTGTTGGGTGAGTGGTTCGTGTCATGCGGGGTTGTATACAAACATGTTTGTGTTGGAGTGCGTTCACATCTTATTCTCACTTGGTTAATTCATAACTTTACTGGTGCAAGGTTCAAGGAAAGGGCTTTTCTCCAAGAGGAAGGAAAGGACCTGCGTTGCATGTGATATCTGTTTCGCTATAAATGAGGTAAGCTTTAAATACTATAAATGAGCATAAACATTTTGATAAATTAAGTTTAATATTTTGTTCATTATTTTATAATTTTTGTCCCCTATTTTATGTTTTAGTTAGACAAATTGTTTGTTGAGATCAAGGCCACACCCACTAACCTTGGCCCTCTGGTGACGTGGAAATGTACAGATGGTAGGACGCACAACGTCACCCACAAAGTCACACTGCAGAAGCTCTGAAGTGTTGAGTGCTGACCACACGGGGGCCGGACTCCTTCACCAGTTCTGCTGGTTCTGCTGCTGTGCTATTAGACTACATTTATGATGGCCTCATGTTCGCTCAATTTATTCATGTCAAGCACACAACTGAAAAGCACGCCCTTGTGCATTTGGATTTATATACATTTGATCACAACATTGTCCATGACAGGTAGTGTTCTAAAGTCTGCACTATAGTGGTGGTAGTACGAGTGGTGGGAATATTATAGTAGTAGTAGCAGGGCTAGCAATAGCAGCAATAGGCTACTAGCTTTAACAGCCTAACACAGCATTAAAACCAATTAAATGCATCCAATAAACTTCTAAGATGTGACCACTTTAATTGGCGCTAATGTGGCCTAATATAATGTGGCTCACAGGAAGGTGAATGCAAAGCTAAGACACAAAGCTCAGCGCTTCGAGTGGAAAGACCACAGCTGCATCTGCATCGTGGGCGTGGAACCTGCGTGTGTGTCAGGCTGAATGCGCAGTATACACCGTGTTCCCTTCAGTCGTCAATATATGTGCATGAACTTGATTGTCAAGTCTTAGAGCAATCTAATAAGAAACATCGAATTTAATTGAATTTAGGCTATACTTTGTATCTCCCTTCACTGTTTTGTTGTTTGCACCAAAGCAGATAGCTTGTAACGTCCTGTTTGGCAATGTAAATCCTTATTATTCTGATAATTTTATTAAATGCACAATAACGCTCTCAAAAAGGCCATAAGTCTTAAAAAGTATATAATTTGAGCTAAAATGCCCCTGCACCTATAGTCCCAGCACAGCCAGACTGCCTGAACACACGATAGCTATAAGGCTTTACGCGTCAACATTAGAAATCAGGATTGTCGAAAGGATTAGTTTATTCACACTTCAGTCTGATTTTGAGGTAAAACATCTGTTTAACGTACATTCTTTGAGAGAGATGTTTGCGTGCAAAGCTGCATTTGAAAGAAGCCGCGGGCTACGTGTCATAAAGCAATTTTCGCTGCTGTCAATAGTGTGAATAAAGCAAACCTTGTATTAAGTGGCCTATAATTAGGTGTGCTTTCGCCGTTGTGTCGCAGGAACAGTATTTACCTAACACACACAAGTAAAGGACAGACAGTGCTGACTTCTCACCGTTAATTGTATCTTTTGATCTCTTTCAAATACCTTCTTCACTCAGCTTTGTGGACGCGGTCCGTGTTGTTGCATGATAGTGTGAAATTATTATGAATTGAAGACCCACAGACGGGTAGTGCATGGTGTGTATATGAATGTCTTGTTATTTTTTAATAACAACCCAAAACAGGCCTATTACAGTCATGGAAAAAGCGTACCCGCATTAAGAATTATCTGTATAATATAGCATTCGTATTTTGGGGGGTATGGATACTTACTATTAAATTTACTAACTCATAAATAATTTGCCTTTAATGGAATACACACCGTCAACAGAAAGTCCACAGGAAAAAAACAGAAACAGTCGAGCAAAGAACAACTAATGAAATAAAGAAATAAAGAACAACCATGAAATAATTCGTATTTATTTGAGTCAAAGAGCCGAGCGTTCAACTGCGGGCCATCGATGCTTTTTTCGTTATTCTCTCTGTCTTTAATTTCATTTCACTATATCTCAGAATAGAAAACAGAACACATAATTGAATGCGTACAAGGAGTTGGTCTATGCGTCCAAAAATAAAGCGGTCATCTTACGACGTCTTAGGGATTTTAAATTCTTAATTATTTATTATAACAAAGAAAATAACACACAGTAGCACCACATAATAGGCCATATGCTTTACAATACCATCCACAATGATTTAATAAAAACAAATAAAGTAACATGAGTATATATTTGTTCATTCTGAACACACAATATGTACGAGGATAAACATACGTACAGACGTAAAAAGTCGCAAATGAACAAAACAGTGTTCGGCACGTTAATGCAGTTGAACTCCGACATATTTCAGGATACAAATAGATATTCAATCTCAAAAAAGTTTGCTCGGTTCATACTTTTCACACAGGGCCTTGCACACGTGTTCTGCAAAAGGAAGTAGTTATAAACAATTACTACAAAACAACAAAACAACCGAACGAACCCTTGTCCCCACAGTCCTCTGGTCAGTGCTCCAACGTCCATGTCTGCTCTGTTTTGGGGATTGTAAAACATTGACCTAAAGAGAAGCATCCAACTCCACAGCCACGGTTGTAGGTGTCTGTGACTTCCTGCTGCAGAAGAGTCCTTTGTTCTTCCTTTCAGGGCCCTGCTGGTTGTTGCGCCTTTAGTCCACATGGTGGCAGTCTTGCTCCACCGAAAAGCCACTCACCGCCCAACTTGACCGGGCTGACGTCACGTCAGTCTGGACCATCAAGGCCACTTCCACGTTTCTATTGGTCTGAAAATCACATGACTCTTGTCTCAGCATCTTTAATAATCTAACGGGTATTTTTTGCACTCGGACACCAAAAGATGTCAGTGCATACGAAGCAGAAAAAACCCGTTTGTGCAGAGTCCCGAGGCTGTCCCAAAAACAGTCCTGTCATATCCGAATAGCCGCTTCTTGTAACTTCCTCATGGATTCCTTTAAGGGAGGATCATCTTGCTTTATGGGTGAGGGTTATTCCAGCGACCCTGGAATGTACACCCCCTCATCAACAAACTACGGCTATCCAGAGATGAGAAACATAGAGACGCCGTCTCCACAAACGTGTAATAAAAGTCTTGCTGGTAACTTGGCTCTTGGAAACATTCATGCAGCATACCTGCCGACCACATGGACGCACGGCTCCAAATCCAGCCGAGACCAACCTGTTGCACACTGTTTACAACCTTGTTCGTTTCCAGCAAGCGGCGTCAAAGAGGAGGCGTTCTGTTGCTTTTATCAGAGCCGCTGTGGCAATAAGGAAAGGCAGACAACAGACTCGACTGCTTACATCCGGCTGGGAGACAATAGCCGCAGGCCTGAGCAGAGTGTCCACACACAGAACCAGGCCAGGCCGCAGCAGGACAGCCAGCAGCAGCTTCCCTCCAGCTTCTCCTCTCTCAGCCACCTGGCTGGTGGTTCTGCAGACGAGGAAACAGACATTAGTTGCAGCAAACCACCGGAAAAAACACGAGATGTTTTACAAATAGCTCCACTACAGTGTGAGAGCACAAGGGACGAAGCAGTAAAGACTGACAACTGCTCTGATAACTCGGACGGAGAATTAAAAGGTACAACTCCCCACCCTCCTCCCAATCTCCTAAAATTCACGAGCATGCGGAACATATCAATGTTTCATTATTTGAGAGGAGTCGAGCAGCATGGCGCATGTCTGCAGAAGTGCATATGACAGCCCATAGCTGCTGGCACTTAACACCATTCTATTCATGTGAGAATGTGACTTGGTGCTTAAACCACACTAATAATTCACATGGCCCTATCCTCACTTCGGGCATAGTGGCTTTAATTTTATCCCTATTAGATGGACCTCATAAATGTGTGTGTGTGTGTGTGTGTGTGTGTGTGTGCATATATATATATATATATATATATATATATATATATATATATATATATATATATATATATATATATATATATATATATATATAATCTCTAGACTAACAATACCAAACAGGTCACGGAGTTTCTGTTGTTTTAGTTTTACAGTAAAATATCATTATCATGTTTATGATTATTATGATTATGATTATGATTTGTATTAATATTACCGCTCATACATCCGTGTCGTTATACATTTTATTATTAATTTATCTCAAAATTTTCGTGCACTACAGCTTTCCATACAATTTTCGTTAAGGGAATACAAACTGAGAGACGTATCTGACATATAGCCTATTTTGAGCATTATTTGTCTGTAAATTTTCAATTATAATTTCGAATGTTTTCTAAATATTATGTATTATGTATTCATATTATGTGTGTGTATATATATATATATATATATATATATATATATATATATATATATATATATATATATATATATATATATATATATATATATATATATATATATATAAATTAATATGAGTATTTCAATTAAAAGAAAGAACAGATCGATTGAATCCGGCCTACATTGCGCTCATCGCTGTTGGTATTTTCACCTGCAGTTTAAATATGTATTGTGTGCAAAGTTAATATAATTTTATGGGAGTCTAAGGTGCCATACAGGCCAAGACAAAAGAAGTGATTATGCGAGTATGTTTTGATCTAATTATACGTGTGGCTTTCGCAAAAAGCAATTTAGAAACTGTGGGAGTTCGGATAATAAGATTCATCATTTGCTGTTATGATCAAAGATGGCTGCAAAGAGTGTCCTCAGACTCTCCATAAAACGTGCGTTAACAGACGCAAAGATGGATATTTGATATATGGGCGTGTTCTTCACTCCAATTGAAACAGATCTTCAACCATTTTGCAGACCTAACACATGCATTCTTTTTGCTCATCAGATGACATGAAAGCGGCATGCGGGAGCTGGTTAATAGCCAAAAGTGGACGAAAGAAGCGCTGCCCGTACACAAAGCATCAGACGCTGGAGCTGGAGAAGGAGTTCTTGTTCAACATGTATCTGTCTCGGGAGCGCCGCCTGGAGATCAGCCGCAGTATCAACCTGACCGACAGACAGGTCAAGATCTGGTTCCAAAACAGACGCATGAAGCTTAAGAAGTTAAGCAAGGACAGTCAAGAAAGAGTGCATTTTTACAACTTTACTTGAATTTTATACTTATAGCCACGCATTTGCATCACGTGCGGGACTGGCTCTCGTTCGTGGATAAATGCAGTTTTGTATTTTATTTTTATTTTTTATTTCAACAGTTTTTTCTTGGCTGCCGCAGCACATAGTCTTGTATCTCTCTGCAATGGCCATATAAATTGTACTTCAATGAGAGAGGAAGGAAATCTGGTAGTCTATAAATAACTCCGGGACTTACTTTGCAGAGCAGCTTGACCACTGCTCTTGCAGCATGCTTCTTGCATGTGCATTATCCAAAGTGAAACCCCAACACGTGAAAAGTGGGAAATTATTAAAAGGGCTATATTCCTTTATGGCAAGGGAGGGGAGCGCAGGGAAAGACATTGGGATGAAAGAAAGAGAGCACAGCTTTAATAGAAGTGAGAGACCATAACGTTGATTTAAATATTATCCAGGTGACCACAGTAAGTCAAGGTCATAAAATTCTAATGTCAGGTTCGCCCTGGAAAGCGTTGGGGGAGGATTTTATGATCTGCAAATATAATGTGCTGCAGCAGTAAAGATGCGTTTAAAGGTGTGTATGGAGGAGGGCTAACCCAGACTGCGGGATCCAAAGGCGCGAGGCTGAAAGCATGCCTCCCGCCTCCGCAATGGAATAACATGGAGCTTTATGGGCGATGGAGATGGGAAAAGATGGTGGATAAAGACAGCGGCGATTGCCTGGACAGAAAATAGCAGCATCTTTGATACAAACAAGGATACGTCCCGTCTCAAGCGGACCTTACCTCCTGATAAGGTAAGACACACGTTTACATATTTCTTTCATTTCCTGTTTGGAAAGTATGTCACAAGTGTCAGCAGAGCGCGCGTACAGTCTGACAGCTACTGGCACATGAGCGCGTGCTGCACATGTGTGATTCTCCTGCTTTGTTTTGCTGCTTGGTGGATTTAAGGTGGATTTTTTGCACTGAGGATTTTTTTTGCATGTATTTTGGTGTGTGAAAAGGTTTCCCGTTGTTGTCCAAATCTATAATATTACGTTTCTGATTGAAGCTGTCAGTAAAAAAGACTCCAGACAGTAGAGGACATGCCAGACTGCACAGTAGCCTATCACAGCTGTTATACTCGCCTTTCCTTTGTGTAGACAAATAATCCTTATTTGGCTGTTGTTTCATGCATTTCCTCCATGGATTTTAACCCCTTTGCGCGAAGCTGAAGCGTGGTTTAGGTAGTTTCATGTTGTTGGGGTTGGCTTCCTGGCTCGGCAACAATAAACTGCCTTGATTACGTCAGTTCGTCTTCATCAAGGGCACAATTTCCGCTGAATCCTCCTTGCACACAGGTCTCTGCAAATGGCATTGTAAATGAACTGGCCACTAATACATTGGACAGAGGGCTTCTTTCTTTGCCGGGATTTTGTGGTGGGCTGTAAAAACTCGCGAGGCTCTCAAAGGCATAATAGGTTGTAAACAACACAGGCGAAAACTTTGAGACGGTGGTTCTGCATGTGTCAGAGGCTGAGCTTTTCTCTGCAAATGTCTAATGGCTGCAGTTTCTCTATGATCACCTCGGACATGCATGAGATGGAATGTGGACTGATCAGTTGTGATCACCATGCAGTGATCAAGGGGACGTTTTAAATGAGATCAGCTCAGTGGATACATCACTGGATGGATTAAATGTACGCAGAGGCCTAATGGAACTTGATTTGATTCTTTATTTCCAGGATTTGCACAAAACATAGCATACATGTCATAGGTAAACACAATCCATATGTATTGAGGAATAAAGACTCAATTTACATTATGTTCGAAAGGGATCAAATAACTTGTTTTTGGAATGGTTTAGAGTAAGGCTTACGATTTGTTCTTTACCATTTTTTTTAAGCCAGATCTATTCTAGTGCATACAAATAAAGTTTCACACCTTCTTGAGTGAATCCTTCCAGATTTACGAAGAAAACAAGTTTTAGACACATTTTCAAAACGGTTTTGGCAAATATACACAAACTACACACACACACACACACACACACATTATATATACATAATATGTCTGTTAGTATTAGATAGCAATATGGCCTACGTGCAGGACTGTACAAGGACTCTACAAGGACTCCATGTTATGATGATTTGACTGTCTCTTTGTGACACGTATGTCTTTCGATGTGTGACGTGACAATGACTATATAAACTGTGTACTGCCTTTATTCTGTCTGAGAGAAAGAAACAAAGTAAACCAGTGGAACTTGAGAGAAACTTAAATAAACTTCCAGAGTTTGGCGCACCACGATCCGTCTCTGTCTGCTAAATCCTGACATGTCTATACATATTTTTAGTATTATTATTTTCTAAATTATTTTATATGTAATATTTAATTTATATAAATCGTAAGCCTTTCAAATATTACAAATGAATATTATGTCATGTTAAAATTTAAAAAATGAAAACAAAGAAATGAAATAGAGTATGCTTGTTTGCCAGCACAGTATATGTTTATAAGTGCCCCCTGTATGGCAGTATATAGTGCAACTGGAAGAGACAGTCTGGAATCCAAAGTCACTTTCATTCAGCGTGGTGAATGAGTCTTCCTTGGTATGCGTCCCTGACAAAGGCTTTACGGCGGAGGAAACAGCCCCAGAGCTGCAAAGATTCGCCCTAAAAACATAAAACCATTAATTTCACTTTGTAGTGTGGACAGCACACAAAGCTTGAGACACCCTCTTCTTCCGGCCAGCTGAACGTGCAGCTCTTGGTGTAATAATGCAAAATTCTCTTTAGCCTGAATAAAAGAAAGGCCATCTTGATGACGAAAGCCGCGGGTTTGAGCCCGTGTTATTTTTTTTAACATGTTTATCATGAAAATACATGCTTTCGTTATCTCAGCCTTCTTGAATGAATCAAAAATGATTAGCCTATCGGATACTATTTGAAATAATGTGCATATTTCAGTTTATACGTGTTCGTTGAGTCCGCTTTGCTTGTCTGACAGATCAGGCCATAGGCGCATCTTGCTTTTTAATCAGTTCAATCAAAAATATAGTTTATCGCTCAGAAACAATTAAAATATCTATTTGACTGTTGTCGTAGTCTCTCCCTGTGTGTGTGTGTGTGTGCATATATATAATATGGAAATTATTATTATAATATTATTATGTAATTGTCATAGTATGTATATTATATATATATTTGTCATATTATAGGTGAAAAACAAATATAGAATCCAAAGTATGCAAATATTACAACGACGTTTTTTAAAGGTGTTTTATTGTTTGCAGACCATAGTACAAATGACATTAACAATCACTTCCGTAAAGATAAGGCACATTAATTCATTTGCAATTCAATCATTCTGCTATTAATTTTAAAGGGTCTGTATTCATTGACACTTCTGATAGGTCTTTGGGCTTTAATGGCAGTAGAGTAAAGGGACGTAGTTGTACCTATACTATCCATCAGATGAAGAACCTTTACGTAGTTCTGCAGCCACATGAACGTCTGCCGCGTGCGTCAATCTGAACTCAGTATAACGGGACAATGTTGTCACAATATTCTTCATATTCTCACTTTATTTTATTAAATGTAACACCACAGCCATTGCCTCCACTCTCATGTATCGCTGGAATAATGATGATTAAGTAATCTGTGAGTTAAATATACAGAGAAAATACTTTTCTAAGCACAGTATAATTATCTGCCGTGGTGCAAACGATTTCACTTTAAACAGGAAACAATATCTGGTTAAGAAATGCAAAAATAAGTATCTTGTTCCACTGTATTAGCAATATAGATGTATAGTCTGTTGCTAATGAATATAAATAAATAAGTCTAAGTTGTGTGATGGACCTGGTCTTGTCCAAGTAACGCAGATCTTATTTATGTATTTGTTTGTTCGTTTGTTGAAGCTTTTTTCATCAGGATAAAAATCATTCAGATTAAAACTCTCCTTTGAGAGTGTCCTGGGCGAGACACCGCAACACGCACAACCTGCTTCAGGATAAAAAGCCAATGATTTGGGATGAATGATTTCTTTTACATTATTATTATGTCAACCTGAGACTGTTGCAACTATGCAACATGTAGCCTACTTAAAATGTTTAGGCCTATTTACAAAGAGTGAAAGTCAACTCATTTTAGTCTGTAGTTGACATTAACGGACATAGTTATCCCGCTGCTCTATATGGCCAATGTCTATTATTTGTTTTTTGTTTGTGTTATTATTGTTTCATTCACGAATCTCTGCTGTTGTTGTTTTGGGTTCTACAAAAATACCTTGAATGGTTTTGAGCAACACAGAATTCCGTACAGGCCTAAAACAAGTGCATTTATAAAAGATGTCGCTCCCAAATAATGATTAAATGTGTCGTTATTTACTGGGTCCAATGGCACATTAAAATGTGAGCACAAGCTTCCAGCTGTCTAATTGTTATATGCGTCACGCGCAGGCACGGTTTCTGTTACACAAAGCATATTAGCTTATCTGCAAAAGAAGTTTGAATCACCAAATATCAGCTGAAGAAAGAGATACTGTAACAGTTTCTTTATCTTTAATACGCGTCTCAGCAGCTCCTTTCCTTTGCCTTTGTACTTGATATGAAATGTTTCTCTGAGTTGGCTTGTATGTTCAACGAAGAAGTTGCTGCAAGCCTATTAATGACACGTTTATGAACAATCAAATGGCGCTCGTTAAAATTTATTGTAAGGCATAAACACAAGCCACCAGCAGACATAACAGTCCGCTGCAGAGAGCAGTCTGTCAGGACTCTTCACTGCATCAAGAAATGCATCTGTTCCCAACTTTACTGTTGATGGAGGATGCTGCACTTTGCTATATGCCATATGTGTATTTGAAGTAATTCTATTTTATTCTCTTCTATTTTCTTCTATTCTATTATATTGGTGCTAAACAACATAGCCATAGATATCAAAGCCTCACTCAAAGATGATGTTATTCAGTAATGACCGCTTCTGCCCGCAGTAATAGGCTGCTATCCTTAGGAATAACACCGGGCTGGGAGTCGCTGACAGAGATTGATTACAGCATCAAATAGAGCCTCAGTCTCCTTTTTACTGCGCGCAAGTCTGTGCTCCGCCGAAAGAAACGTCTACTTTCTGACTTTATAAGTTTTGTTTTTCCATAAATCATTGAAATATTCTTCTTGAAGCTGTGTCTAACGTATCCACGTTCTTGGGAAATAATACGTAGTTATAAAAAGACTTCCATTGGTTTCTTGGATGTGTGGCGCATTGATCTGCTGTACAGTTTTTGAGTGGGTAAATATAATCACGTGACGTGAAGGTAGCCAATCGCTGTCAGGCAAGTGCAGCGAAATAATTACCTGCCTTGATTGTTCTATGGCTAGATAAAAGTACACATACAGTCCATATAATAATCGGACGCATGTAAAAGCGCTGGACGCATCGACATGTCGACCTCTGGTCCCATAACTAATTATTATGTGGACTCACTGATCAACCACGAGAATGAGGACGTTCTCGCAGCCAGTCGGTTTTCTGCGGCTGGAACTCATGGCTCTCGCCCGACGCCCCTAGTCCCGGAGTGCGGCGACTACCCGTCCTGCAGCTTCGCCCCGAAACCAGGCGTCTTCTCCAGCACATGGGCTCCCGTGCACTCGCAGTCCTCGGTCGTGTACCATCCTTACAGCCACCAGCCGCACTTAAACACAGACTCGCGGTACATGCGCTCATGGCTGGAGCCCATCTCTGGGGCTGTGCCTTTCCACGGATATGCAGGAAACAGCAGGCACTTTCAAGAGCACAGAGCCGGGGACTGCCTCGGCTCCAGCGGAAGGACCTTCACGGATTATCTGTACTGTTCTCCCACTGACATACGAGACAAGAGCCAAGCCAATGTGATGACTATCCTGTTTGTGTGTTCAATAAATACTATGTAACTATAAAAGTTAGCAGAAGTGAGAGGGACATGATGAGGCACATATAACCTGCACTGGCTGCTGTAACTCTGCTGCACATGTCCATACAGAGCTGAGGGGCTGCTTTGAAAAGTGTCTTCAAAAAGCTCAATATGTGAACATAGCATATGACACAGGATCTTTGAAGTCAATTATCGTTCTCATAAGACATTTCTCAACCTGTAAAAGCAACACAGGGGAGATTAATAAGGCAGTTCAAAAGTGGGTACCACACATACTGGCATGCAAAGTGACAGGAAGCTAAGATCGCGCAGGTACTAACACAGGTCAAGATAATCATTTATATGTGTTTCAAGCTATAAGACAGCTTAACACCTATTTCTTATGCACTAGAAAGTATAGCAGCATTTTTAATATCAGGTAACACTGCTGCAGAATAGAACATCTGTGTGAATATAGTCAAACATACACACACTCTATACACACATATCTAAGAATAAGTACATCATATATATACACTTTTGAGTTGCCATAAAAACACAAATGTCTTAGACTGGATGTCATCATTATGGCAGATGCTGAGTGACATCGTTATACGCACCATTCTAATTCCAGCAAACAAACAACATTAAAACAGTATAATCAAGAACAAATGGACTTTAAATGAGGTGCCCATAGGTAAGAGTCAGCACTTGAAGCAAAATTAAGGTAGCAGAGCAAGTGTTCGCCAAGAGGGAAATCATGTAAATGCAGAATTAATTACAAGTCATCAGAGAGCTTTTATGACGGACCCTGGTCAGTCCGTGCTAACCTTTGGCTTTATTTCATTTAAGCACCAGGAAGACGAAACGGGAGGCAAACCTACAGTCGTTACCAAACTCTGGAGCTGGAGAAGGAGTTTCTGTTCAACCCTTACCTGACGCGCAAACGACGCATCGAGGTGTCCCATGCCCTCAGCCTCACCGAGCGCCAGGTCAAGATCTGGTTCCAGAACAGGAGGATGAAGTGGAAAAAAGAGAACAACAAAGACAAGTTCCCAGGCCAGAGAGGAGAAGCTGAAGCCGAGGCTGAAGCTGAAGAGGAGGGCAACGAGGACGGTGAAGGGGAAGAAACTGAGGAGAAAGAAGCGGAAGAAAAGGAAGAGGCCAAGGAATGATTTTATGGTCCTTTTTATGGTTATATGGCTGAAAACGAGAGAAAAGAGAGGCCCCATAAACAGACCGAGACTCAGAGGAAAGCAGAGCGTCAACTTTATGACCACCCATTCAATTTGTCAAAAGGGAGAAAATCCCACCAATATTGCTGTCATAAAAGTCCAAATTGACCAGTATTATACTATAACATTTGGGTTTTCTGAAAGACTTAAGAGACTTGTCAAATAGTGTCTCTGTAATATAACGCATGCTAGATGGGAAATGGCAGACCTATTTTTACAAATATGCTTTTATCAAAACGCATAGCCAAATAAGATCAACGCCAACGTGTTTTGTAAATAGATACCAGCCTACATTTACAGTGTCATATCAAAGTCGCCTTTCAGAATTGTAGGCCCGGATTTTGAGACTTCACAACAGCTGTCACATTGGCGCACAGCCTGTGTACAAAGCCGTTTGAATCTTGATTGTTACTGTACTGTTTATTGTTTTATGTGAATGGCATAATAGCCATTAGCTCCTCAGACTTATTTTCTCTAGGATTACCAGGGAAATGCAATCGTGTTAAATTCTCTGATGCTACCTAAACCTGGGGGGAATTGCAATAGAGATTTTGGAATATACATATTTCCAATTATTTTAATTTCAAAGTGTTATATAACCTTTTTATTATTCTATTAAGTTATCTATGTAGCATTTACCCCATATACAATATACACTTGTTGAAGACAATTTAAGCCTTGGGAAGACAATTTGGTCCAAGACAACCATTTTTAAGATTGTACTCGGCACTACCTAAACTCAGAGCCTTTGCCCTTCACTGACTTTTATTCCACGCTCTGTATGGGCATGGCTCTGAAAAGATTTAAGCTGTTTCCCCAACAACTAAAACTGCCTATGACGCACATTTAGCGATGTGTAAGATTATACCTGCTACAATAACACATATTTTAAACATAAGGGAGTTTTTATTTTAATGTGCTGGTGATATAGCGTAGTAGTTTTGCACTGAATATAACCTTTATGTACGTCTTGTTATATATTGATGTTAACAATATGCTCGTTTTCTGGTGTTCCTCCTGTGAAAGACGGGATTGTGTGTCTTCGCCGTTGTTGATGTAAAATCACAAATAAACAAGATGGCTCACTCTTAATTCTGTTTTTTTTATTTTTTTTTATTTGGATCAACAACACATTCTCATTTTTGTACATAACAACCGAGACATCACATATATACGAGCATGATAGAAAAAGTACCTCAATTACACACTCAAGACCATGCATTTATTCACCTACACGTTGTACTGGATTGCCCCAAAGCACATACACTTCACCATATGGCAACATAAATATGGTAAATAACCCAAACTGGGGAATCTCTTATTTGAAGCAGTGTCAATGCGCGTGCATGTGTACTCCAAAGCCATGCGCACCGTTTGATTCATCCTCGTAATAATAGGCTTCGTGTCTAAAGGGAGGACTTTTTAATAAATGTTGGAAAGAATAATGACTGTATGGGTTGACTAACATCTGATATAGTGTCATTACAGTAAACTATTATCACAAAGCTTTCAGAGTGTGTGTTTTGAACTCCAGCTGTGCATGGTTCATATAGTGTCCGTTTATAATCAATAAAAATTAAAGCAAAATACTCAAATCAAGGGAAAAACTATAGGCCTGCAAGACGTAATATCCTGCAGCTGTTATGAATGATGGAAGTAAACTACAAAGCAGGTTGCAAAATATGCGCAAACCACGGTAACGCACTATAAATGCCCGGAGCTGGTGATATAAAATACCGCATCTCCATTGTTTACACACACTTTATCCGATCTGGGTTGTAACATTATATTGACTTTTTCATAATGAGTTGCCTTGTCCGCGCGAGTGCTCAATTATTCAGTGGATTGCCATCTCTTCTGTCTCGTATTTGACAGTACGCTTGTATTTGAATACGAGATTGCAACCTGTCAACAAACCATAACACATGCAAATACTGAGGTGCATGGAAAATATTTAGAGCCCTAACTGGCTACAGAAGAAACGGGGCATTATGTGATATAGTATGGCCTAACGTTGTTTATCGTCCCAGCTTTTGTATTTAAATGAAAATATCATGCGCTTGAACATAAAATAAAGTACACATTCAAATTATAATAACATTAATTAGGTATTATTATTATTATTATCATTATTACTATTAATATTATTATTAGTATTATTGTTATTATAACCTTATTTTGTCTTTGTCGGTGCGTAACCAAAGTGCAGGCCTCTGTGTTCCTAAATGACACCTATATTCTGCCTCACATGACCATTGTGTGTGGACTTTTAGCATGGGGCTGACGTTGCCAATAAAGTTTAGTGTAGCTGCTGTAAAGTTTATTGCTGTGTAAAGACGCAGCTCGGTGGCTGTTTGCGTCAGTCTGGGCTCAGTGACCTGAAGGAGACGCACCACCACAGCAAGTGAGCGACATTTTTCATTTCAAAATAATATTGTTGAAACTATTCCAAAACTGGCCTGTTGCCCATATTATCAGACCGGAAACATTTAGTTGCTTCCTATTCAAATAATCAGGAATCGTTTACGCATCACATGGAGAAGCGGTTTGGATTGATATATTTTTGAAAACCTTGAAGATGTTTGGTGGAGGGTTGGAGGTCTGCGTCTGCTTCATCCAACCCACACATACACGTTTCAGAACATGTATGTACGAATATGTGTTATTTTGTTTGCTGGATTAGTGCTGTTTAGAAAAAAAACCTCTTGATGATAATTCTTTAAAATGCCATGCTTTCATGGTAAAGGAAAAGTAACACATCTAAACAGAACATATGTATCCAAACGAATCCTTTTCCCTCAAGTACCGTATTTATTCTCGCTTGAATTTCATTGATTGCTTTTGTTGCAAGTTCAAACACAATATATTTTAATTATTTGAAATACTATTTGAATTATTGAATTATTTTTTAATTATTGAGTAAGCAATTGAATATGTGGCATTTATTTACATTTGTTAGTACGCCTGCGCACCAGGAGCTCTGATAATTACGTGAAGACTAAGTTTGAAATATCATTTTAAATTACGCACCAAATTTGCCCCAATCTCTCTCCCCCTAAAAAGCCTCGTTTCACCGCCCCTCCTCTTCTTTTTTTACTTTATTTATTTTTGCACCTGGCCTGCAGCTTCAGTGCGCCTCAATATAAAGGAACTGCCATATATGTGTTTAAATGTGTGAGATATGCGGATTTCTGCATTCTTTATTGTGGAGCACTTTTTCGTCCTTTTGAAAAGAAGTGAAAAGATGGGTGCAAACATTCCTGGTTGTTAAAGAGAGAAATTTACAGCTGAGTAATAAAAGTTTACGACTGAATCCTCTCTGTGATTGGCTGAGGCAAGCCACGTGGCACACGCTCTATGAACATGAACTTTATGCTGTTGTCTATTCCCTGCTCCTTCCCTTGTATCCGAGGCAGACCAAGCTGCTGCGCTTAAGCTCGTTTTTGCTTTTGTAAAATAACTGTAGGAGAGCAGTGTTTGAGTGCGCGTCCGTGTGATAATCACTGAGGATGTCTGACTTCCTAACAGAGGGATCTTCGGGGCAGTCACCGCCTCTGCGTTTATTCCCGGAGGTAATAAAGCTGAGCCGCGGCAGGGATAAGAAGAGGGCTGTGAGAAAACAAATACGATGCTATATTCTGTCTCCTTACAATGCGCCAAGAACTGCTCCGGGAGCGTGCGCGCGCCGTGGTGATGTCCCCTGCACGCCATCATGACCCCTCGCTCAGCTCAGCAGCCCAGCCAAGTGCTACAGGGAGGTAAGGCACTTTCTCCTTCATTTCAGTGTGGATCTACTGTGATGTGAGTGTGTGTTTCAACGCTGCCTGATGCAAAGTGAATGACGTGATGGAAACTGGGAGAGGCGCACAGTGTAGACGTATATATGTGACCTGACCTGTAGCCTGCAGCCTCCTCCTCGAGCAGGTATCTCCTGTCACCTGCACTGCACCTGAGAGCTCACACCGTTATGGCCGCGCTCTTTGTACGTTTTGCAAATTGTCTTTTATATAGACTATTGCCTTGTCAAAGCAGCGTGGACTTTGTGGAGCAGGCCATATGTCTCTGATTAGTCTGGGATGGATTGGTTTCACAGTTCATCATGCCAGTGGATGCAGCGTAATTATCTGTCATATTTGTTGTCACATATCCAAGCCAAGATTGTGAATAACACCCTGGAGTTATTTGATGAACGCGCATGTATAGCATTCATACAATCATCAGGCTATGTGGGCAGTGACGAACTGGCTCGTTTAGCAGCACTGCCCCCTAGCGACTGCCAGCCTCAAGTTGTTGTGTAGACGGAGGGGGAGGGGAGGGGGTGAGGCTGGGATGTTTACGGCAGCTCTGTGGCACACTGCGGATGTCAGCTGACCCAGGTTTGAGACAGGTCTTGGGATTATGATACACAGCCCTGGGTTTTGATTATTATTGCGCACTTGTTCCAGCGTTAGATCTAAAATGGTGGTGCTATGACACAAACGCTGACGAGACTATAACAAGCAGAACGTCTGGTGTTTTGAATTTATATATCTGTGATTACGTGAAGTTAATACTAAACCCTTTTAACTATAGGCCCATTGACATAATGTATGCACTCATGGTATATTCAAATGTTATTGTTATTCTTAATTGATTGTATAAGCTTTGTATTGCAGCAGTTTGTTTGGACTCAAGGCTATAGTGAAATAATATTGATTGTTTGTCATAATTCATTATAAACGAACACCCTTCATTATAGACGTGTGATAATGAGTGATATTGTTTGATGCAGTCAGATCTGCACAGAACTTCAAAGAACTTCTGGAGGTCAGAAGGCATTTAAGCATGGGTATAGCCGAATTTGGCAAGAAAGACTCGGCCTCTGTGCACCAGTGAGCCCATATGAGAGTGTGGAGTAGTTACATTTGAAGACGAGCGCTCAGATGTGTTACCACGTCCAGAACAGTGCATTATTATGGTCGAAATCCCGTTAAAAAAGCTTTTTGAAATCACAGCATTCATTCCTCCCCTGCGTTGCATTGGAAATTTGGCGATGCTGCTGCAGTGTCTTCCATGCGCATATCCTGGAAAAAAAAAGTCAGAAATAGAGGGCACATTATGTATGCTGTTTGGGTTCAAATGAAATGGAAATCACTGAATTAGTGTCATTAAAGGAGACAAACTCTGGAATGAAAAGTTATGAAGTGATGAAGCTGTCCGCATCACCACATGTGGACGCTCACTTTTAAATCTCGACAAGCTAAAATTTTCTTGCTAATGGTCATAATTTATGATGTGTGGATCAACATGCGCTCATTGACCAACGGCTTCCTGAGTGCTTAACGAGGAAAAAGTCGAACACTTCCGGACATTAATTGGAGCAGCCGACAATGGTAAAGTGCTTATAGAGGGCTTTACATTGTTACTATCAGAATTACTCCTTATTAGTAAGGTTAAAGCTGCAGTGAGCGAGCACTACGCATAAGCTGTGTTTTTAATCATGGACGCTCAAGTAGAAGTTTCACAGATCCCAAACTACTAATCCTGACGAATGTGGTGCCTTTGAATGCAGAAGCGCCGGGAAGGCATAGATTTGACAAAATGGGCCCCTTTGCCTCAGGCCTCTTGCTACTAATGTGCAGCCTATATCACCTATATTAAGACAATAATCATTACAATTATAATAATACAAATAACAACAATAACAATATTATTATCAGGCCAATATTAATAATTGACAAGTAACCTATTTCTTAAATTAGTTTGAATAGATGATTGATACAGCCGAAGCTTATCATTTTGCTGCCATTTACTTTCTCTACCTTGCAATTCATCTCGTTGCAGTCAGTCTCACACAAAACTTGGACAAACGGCTTCTCGCCTTTACTCATCAAAAGACGCACGTGATTTGCCTTACGGCCCGCAATAAAACAGACGAGGAGAAAGAATGACCTTTCTATTTCTGCACACTGCAGAGGCGACATTCCAGCCACTCTTAGACAACATTTTGGGCTGAGAGTCCAGCTTATTTACAGCCCCAATCTTTACGATCGGCCCGCCTGTCCTGGTGCTGCTGAACACTTATGCGGCGTTTGGGAAAGCGAAACATTTGGACAAGTTGTAAAAGTGCACTGATCCCTCTATTCCCACTTCAGAACAAACACAAATATAATAAAAAAATAATAATACAATTGCCCATATATAGAAACTATTCATATGTAAAAGGTTCACTGTAGTTTTTGTGGTCGCGCGTAAAAATGGTGTCTTCATAATTATGCAAACTTCCCATTGATTGAAAAAATCTGAAATACTGAATGGCTATTTATGTCAAAATGTCGCGTTGATTGTTGAAAATAGTATTTTATTAGACAACATTACATCTGTCTTTTGCTATTGCTATTGTTGGCTTTTTAGAATTATCAATTTTATTTTTGCTGCTACTGGATAACTGAATTTCTCCAACGGGGATCAAAAAAGTATCTATCTATCTATCTGTCTATATATCGATCTATCTATCTGTCTAAAATAAAAGTTGGCTCCTTTCTTTTGAAGTTATGAACAATCTTGTGAAAAAGCATGTGCAGGAATGCGCACGGAACATTTTTTATCCAGAACGGGTTGAATAGTTTGTAATTTCGTTTTCTGTCACTTTTGCGCGTGTTTGTCTGAACTGTCCGCGGATGTCACATATGGTCGGGAATAAGGTGATGGGAAGCTTTTTATTGCACCGAGCACTTCCTCCTCTTTGTTCGTGTCCCTTTTATGGTCCACTCAGTTAGAGCTCAAACAACAGAGCAATGCTGCTGTTGCACTGCGAAACTATTCACTCACCGAACAAACCAGTGATTTGGACTATGCTGGCTTTTTCTGCATTTCAGCCTTTTATTTCCTTAAGGTTTTGCATAGTTAGTCGTGCCGTGAGCGTGGATCAAAGCCCGAGTACACACACACACACACACACACACACACACACACACACACACACACACACACACACACACACACACACACACAAACACACACACACACACACACACACACACACCAGTTAAACATGAGTTGTGAGCAAGTAATAGGCCTATGACTTTTCTCAAATAAGTTTAAGGCTATACTTCTGGTCCTTATTGTATAATTTGTCACAGAATAAAGACACCCAGTTAGGCCTTCAAACTAAAATAATAGCGTGTCCAAAAATGCAAATTATAAAGAAAATGTACACGCGCAGAAACTATAGACAACATGAGATTTAATGAGAACAGGATAAGGAATTATTCTATATTGTGCGCCTGCAGTTGCGGTTTAGAACAATCCAGACCCACGCTAGACCCAGATACATTACTGCAGAGATAGTTGTTTGTGAGTTGGAGAACGTCACTTGCTTTATTGCCCAGAAGAGAGACCATAAACGCATTCTTACAACCTCCCCCAGCCCACAGAAATGGCAGTCCACAAGTCAGATCACGCATACGTTTAAGAAACATTAACAGTATCGGTGCAGGCTGTGTAAGGGCTGCATCATATCAAATATTAAATTTTGTACTTGTGCATATTGGGGGCAGGACGAAGAGGTAAGAGAGAGCGCAAGGTATATTAAATTGCATTATTCAAATAACATGAATATGAAAAAACTTAAGCTATGGAAGGGCTGTGAAATGTCTTTAAACATCATACAGCGACACAAAGAAACGGATATCCTCTGTAATAGTGAGTGACATATCTATGGATCTAGGATATCTATTCATCATTTGTTTAACCACTTCAATAAAACTACTTTGAATAACTACCTGGAAAAACTTCAGAAAGTGTCAATATGTCCCGTGTGTCAGTCCAAGTCTACTTCGTGTTTATCGGCATTTAGCACTAATGTTCAAGCTTTGAGCTAAAAGCTACAGTTTCTCTTCAACTCCTGCCTCTCAATTGGTTGAGCTTGGTCAGCTGACGTTGTCATATTGTCTCTCACCCAGCCAAGCCTCGACTATAACACTCGGGTTTGTGCGTCTTAACCGGAGATTGGAAATTAATAATATTGAATCCTGAAAGTAGTACTCGCGTGACTTGAGTTTAGTCAAAAGGAGAAAGAACAGTTTAGAGAACGGGGTTGTTGCGTGAGAGAAACGGAGAAGGATTTACACCAGAAAGATCGATCAAGAAGTGGGGAGAGTTGGAGTGAGGGTAACAAGCAAGGTATGAATTCTTATTTCGCAAATCCGTCGCTCTCATGCCATTTATCCGGTGGACAAGAGGTTCTGCCAAATGTGCCACTAAACTCCACCACCTATGACACGGTCAGACATTTCTCGTCTTACGGCGCTGCAGTCTCTCAGAATCGGATCTATGCACCTTTCTACTCTCCACAAGACAACGTTGTGTTTGGCTCTGGCCGGGCACAGTATGAATATGGATCTAATATGTTTCTTCAAGACAAGGACGTGCTCCCCAGCTGCAGACAAACTAACATGGGACTTAATTCACAAAGCCACATTGCCCAAGAGTACAGTCTGGATCAAGGAAGAGCAGGCGCCCAGGATCAGAAGAGCAACATCCCGATCTACCCGTGGATGCAGCGAATGAACTCACACACTGGTGAGTTTTACTACGACAAATAAATTAAGGAAATGGGCCAGTTTTACGATATGTCTTACCAAGAGAGTAAGTTAGTTTTTATGGCCCCATAAAACATTACTGTCTTCTCCACTTGTAGATGGCTCTTTATGGGCAAACAAATAGTATATTAAGATGATATCGATCATAATCAGCTGTGCATGATTCTGATACACCGTTTATAATATAAATATTTGATAAAGCAGTTTATGGAAAACATGCATGAATAAAAATATGAATATTAATATAAGAGATTTTTGATTAGAAGAATGCAACGACTTCCAAAGGCAAACAGACTTTTGAATGGAATAACTGAGGAGTGTGACTTTGTGTCCCCACAGGAGTAGGCTACGGGACAGACAGGCGCAGAGGACGTCAGATTTACTCTCGTTACCAAACGCTCGAATTGGAGAAAGAATTTCATTTCAACCGCTACTTAACGAGGCGCAGGAGAATCGAAATAGCAAATGCGCTTTGTCTCACGGAGCGCCAGATCAAAATTTGGTTTCAGAACCGACGTATGAAGTGGAAGAAGGAGAGCAACCTGACTTCCACGGTGAGTGAACAGACTGGAGACTCCCAGGAGGCAGAGCGCACAGAGGCGACGGATGAAGAGAAGGACGACAACAACAAGAAGGAATAGTTATGGGATTTTAATAATCAGAAGACCATACGGAACCCAACATAACTACCTAAACTACCTAAATGAACATGGGAGCGGCTTCACTGCATGTTGGCTATCCCACCGCACTTATATCTTGACCATGGAGTATTGAAATTGTTTTAGCCCTAAAGGGCACATGGGAGCGCAGTGTTTTGATCACTGCAAGCATTTATGATATTGTGAAAATATCAAATGAGTATTACTTTCCAAGTGTATTATCCCCCCACAGTCAATTCATCACTGTGAATCCTTTGATCCCCCACAAAAGCTAAACGTACATTGTACATCCACATTCCATTTAGCTCAGAACAGGATGAAGCAGAAAGTTAAATGTGTCTCTCTTCAAGTCCACATTTGTCCTCGTCCACGCTGTATATAACCAACATGAACAAGTGCACTGCTTTGTAAACCCCACGGATTATTCCTTCAAATGTATTTAGTTGCTTTAATAGTGTATAGGCTATGTCCCGTGGCTTAAAAGAAGCAAAAAATAAAAATAAAAATAAAAATAATCAATGAACTATGCGCTTTGTCCTAGAACTGGTCCAATAGGCTAATTATGAACATTTTCCTTGTCATTTGTTATTTGTACACCTAAGTATCACCATTTTGGGAACTGTCTGTCATAATTGTGTATCACAAATAAAGTATTTGTAATACTTTCGAGCTTGTCTTGTTTTAAATGTTTAAACAATGAACACAGTTAAATTGAATGTATGGTTAACTAGAATATATTATCGTATGAAAATACACTCGAATAAACATGGTTTATCATAACTATTGTTTTAGATGGACGTGTTATTCAGTTGAAACCAGTTTTGTTATTATTAATTATCATTATTATTATCATTATTATTATCCTCATTATTATGAATTGTGCTTATACTGTCAGGAGTTGAGTCCGATTAGTCCGAGAGGTAAAGTTGGGAGCAATGGCCGCAGTGTCCGTCCTGCCCCATACCAAACGCCAGATGACGCTCTTGTCTTACTGTGGTGCCCTTTTTGCGCTAACCAGGCTCTGCCCGGTCCTCAGAAACCAGCAGCTCAAACTTTACAGGACACGTTTCTGCTATTCATCAATACCCCCATTGAGTATCAAAGCCAATTTATGACTGGCCAACATACGCACGTGATCTCACACAAATGCCCCATATGTGGGCAGCGCACTTGGCGATCAAGAAATCAAAAGATAGCAAACCCTGGTTCTGCTATAAAACTATAAAACCTTTTTCGAACACGTTAAAGGCAACGATCGAAATAACACGATATGACATGACGCGCCGTCCTGCAGCACATCTGAAGAGTTCATGACGAGCGCTTTTATTCACAGCTCCAATTTCACTCCGACAGCGGAAGCAACTTCTAATGCTATGTTTAATTTTGATGAGTCTGAGCACGCGTCCGGTCGCCATATGGGTGTTGATCAGAGGGGATTGTACACGCGTCCCGTCTCTACGACCTCTGTTGATAGGGCTGAGATCAAAACAAGCCTGCATGGCAATCCAGGCGTTCTTTTCCAACCAGGATCGCAAAACAACACTATGGTCGCCACTAACTCTATGTACGCGAGTGCGCAAAGCTGCAGCAGCACGTCGGTGTTGGGAAGAAACGGAGAAACGGGAAAAAACCCCAAATACGGAGTCGACAAAATCCACGAAAGTCAAAGGGATGAAGGCAGCGCTCAAGGATTAAAACAACACACTACAAGTCCACAAGAACGGAGTGAGCAACCCCAGATCTACCCATGGATGACAAAACTGCATATGAGCCACGGTAAAGTTTGTCCTATATCTTTAGAGCTAAAGAAGCGTTTCCCAATCTATTCACTGCAACCCTTCGTTTCGATTGTTCCACTTTTCTCTCAAGTTTTATAGGCCAAACGCAGGAAATAATAAAAACTTGCGGTCATAAATTTTATGACAAAGGCATCATTGCTCGTAAACCTGCTCTGTTACGGCGAAGAGGTGATCTGTGGCTGATTTATGGTTGTATAATTGGATAAGAGAGCAGATCTGCAATACAATAATTGTATAATATTCCATATATGTTTTAAATACACATTTGCTTTTGATGTGTTTATTTTGACACATGAGCTAATGCTGGGTTTCACTTTATCAGGCTTGTATACGTGCGCACGCGTGGGTGTATGTGTGTGTGTGTGTGTCTGTGTGGGAGAGAGTAAGAGAGACACATAGCCTAGCCTTAAGTTGAACTCTGGAAAACGCCACTGCCCTAACCCAAACGTGAACTTTTCACCTCGAAAAGATTTGAATAGACTTGCTCTTTAATTCCTTGGCTGTCTTGGTGCTCCTGGCCTGGGGGACGCAGGCGCCTTTGAGCACAATGGCGCAGCTCAGCTATCAACAATATTACAAGGCCTTTATCAGAGCTGCTACCAAACACGAAATTCATATTTATTTTTTGACTTACATACACTGCACCTGCGTGCATACCAAGGTGTTTCTATAACCGATAGAATAGCGGCTTGTCACGCACGTGCATGTATTTATTTGAATGAGAAAGGCCCAATGTCTGGCTCAGGGCAGTTTTTGTGAAAAGTGCCACAAATGTTGCCTTAACGTGTGTTATTTTAAACACTCAAATACACAATGCAGACCATATTAGCTCTGCAGTGAGAAACATGCAAAAGGACAGTGTTTGCGTTTTTAAAGTGTTGATCATGATGTTTCCTAAACAACAATTGGTTTAAAAATATATTATTATTATTATTATTATTGTTATTGCTATTATTATTATTATGAATGGTCGCGATGCGTTTGTTGCCTGCAGAGCAATGCTGTTAACTGATTTCACTGCCTCTTCAGAGACAGAAGGGAAGCGCTCCAGGACCAGCTACACCCGCTTCCAGACTCTGGAGCTGGAGAAGGAGTTCCACTTTAACCGCTACCTGAGCCGCCGCAGACGCGTGGAGATCGCCCATAACTTGTGCCTGAATGAGCGTCAGATCAAGATCTGGTTCCAAAACCGTCGCATGAAGTGGAAGAAGGACTCACAGCTGAAGGGAAAGAACTGAGGCACTCAGGCTCCTGTGACCTCCAGATGAACCTGGTGCAGCAGTGACATCATGACACTGCGATGCGTGCTTCATCACCAATTATGTGTCACTTGCTGCAGTTTGGGACCTAATGTATTGAATATCACTCAGTTTGATCAATAGGTTTACATTTATAAATTAATTTGCTGCCTATATGCGATGATAAGCTCACTTGAGAGGACTAAAATAAGCGGCAAAGCGGGGCATGCACAATATCAACCTGATTGTTAGAGAGCTAGGCCTGTCATTTCACATCGATGAACTTCTGCAAAGACTGCTGCAAAAAGTGGACTCCTAAGGACGCGGATGTTGTTATCCAAATGACAGCAAAATAAAAATAAAATAAAAACAATTGACCTTCTGATGTGTAAATGTGAACTGATATCCTTCATTTGTGCTCAACCCGTGTGTTTACAAGAGTTGAGCAACTTCTATCTATAATTTGAAAATAAAGTCTCATTTTGCCAAACCACTGCCGTCTAATATGTATCAGGCCAACGCGCTGCCTCTGTTGATAAAGGCCCCTCGTCACAGTTTATTGGCCCTCAGAGCCCCCGCAGACAGAGTTTCCTGTTTGGAGAAAGAGGGAAAGCGCACAGTAGCCTGAAATAATACAATGTGAGCAGACTGCACTGTTCCTGCAATGATGCGCCACAGCAAATGACCCCAATTTAACTGTACCAACATATTTAAGATGACGTGATCAGCCAATTACATACAAAGAACGTTATAAATATTTCCCATAGTAAAGACCCCCTAAAAATGCAAAGATAAAATAACTCACCTCGGACATAAAGTTTCTTATTCCTACTGTGATAGTGGTCAAAGCTGTGTCCATTTTGCCCGTGGTCTGGCGAGCTACCCTTAAATGAGGACAAAGTAACGAATCCCTTTTGTATGTCTTTTTTTAGGGTGTTTTAAAGTTTACAAGGTTACATATGCCAATTGGCCGAAGCATGGTCTGTGAATGGTGCATAGGAAGCACGTGGTGCCATTTAAGTGGGTTTTATGGCCTGGAAGAGCTGACAAACCTTCGATATATACACATCATATATAATCTTAACTGTCTGGAATCGCAGCTGCTGGTTTCCTTATCGGAGGAAGAGCGAGCTTTGTGGCAGTAAAGGACCACAACATGTCAGCGTACTGAGCAGTGGCCGCCGCGGAAAACTGACACAAGATGCAGCAGTAAGTCCATTTTAAACTTGCAGGCCTGGGATTGTTCCGCGTTCGGGTGACTGAATTGGCGTGAAAATAATAGACTTTTGATTGTGTGGATTGTGTCACATTAATAGCAGTGTACACAAATAGCGTGTACACAAAAGGCCTGTGTTTCAAACAGTTCAACCTAGATTGTTTACATAGCCTAATGTAAGGATTTATTATCGGTTTGGCAAATTTGTGATCAAATAGCATTCGAATAAAACCGCGTAATGTGCCTAAATTAGAAGAAGACTGTTGCTGTTGTTATTTTGTTCAATTAATGCAAAATAGTGCGCGTCGGGCGTTCTCTCACATTGCGGCGTTTTCCTCAATAGACTACTTTAAATTCTAAATGTGGATAAAGCCTTGTTTCTGTTGTTTTACGGAGATGGTTTGCTTTGCACAATCTAAGCGCCTTTATTTCAGCGTAAAGAGAGTTTTTTGTCTGGTGTTGATGTCTCGTATCATGGGGTCACGGGGAGGCCATGCATGGCGCGTTTAACTCAAAGTCACTTTGCAGAAATCTTGAGCCGCTCAATTTGTATGTCTCTCCAAATATGTAGGAAAAAAAACTTGCTTCCTTAGGATCGTTTCTTTAAATATACAAATAAACTTTATTCCGTGTGTGCATTTGAAGCATATATTGTCTAATATGCACGAGTTGAAATTGTGTGTAAAGAATATCATCTATAATAACAGACACAAATCATGCATTATATAGCTAAATGCACGGCTCACTTTTGTTTATCCTATTTGCCACTTTGCATCTTTTTGTTTCGTATCCCTTCCATGAGCGGCACATCAACAGTGTAGTGGCACATTGATTTTTAAATGTGACTTCCATTGCCAGGACAGCTCATCTCAGGTAACATATGCCCTCAAATTAGATTATTTTGACCCACTGATCATATTAACGAGATGGGGAATTTGAGGCCGTGAGTTTTGAATGTTGACTCTTATCTCTACCTCCTGTGATAGAAACAAAAGAATCACTTACACTTCCAATAGGGGGCACTGTGTGACACCATGTGGGCATTACTTGTGCCAGCAGGCCATGCTCTGATGTTTCTTTGTCCATGCTCTTCGTTTGGAGGAAAGTTGTTTTATATTTTCCCCTTCAAAAGATGAAAATGATGTATTCACATTGACGTAAATTGTTAGATATTAATAAAATAAGGTAGTTCTAAAATTCTATACAATCCTGCCACTGTCACGGTACACACAGCTTTTAGTCCATTATTTCATTTCATCTGATCATTTTCATTATTCAAGCAGCAGATGCCATTTCCCATATGAACTTTGCTTTCTCTGACCACTTAAAACATGACCCTATATTTCCCTCCGTGTACGCTAAGGAACACATTAACAATGTGAAGACAAAGTCGTGATATTTTATTGTCTCCATTATTCACTCGTGTGCTGAAGTCGAGGGATTTCTCTTCACAGTCAGTTCGCCCGAGGAAATACCAACACGACAGTAAATTTACTTTTACTGTCTGAAAATGACCTGTCCCAAGCTGCTGGTCCCAGTTCCACAGGAGCCCACATCGTGTCAGTGCGTTTCTAGGACAGGACAGAAGAGTAGACAACATTTTACGCACAGCAACAGCTAAACCTTTGAAGTGGCCTCTGCAGGCTACAGTAATGGCCATTATTGTGAGATATGTAGAGGCCTAACTCAGTTTTCTATGCACAAACATGAGCCACATATCTATACTTTCAGTGGGTTCATGTTGACGTTTCACAGATAAAAATAAACCGTTTGTATAAAAATGCGTGTATTTAACTGTATTACTACATCCCTGGTGTAATGCTTGGTGTTCTTTTGCATTCAAATGTTTCTTCTGATATTATTTTAAATGTTTTTTTTTCCCCCTTGTTTTGTTTTTCAGATGAGGTCCTCTGACGGCTCCGTGGACGTCCTTGCGCGTGACACACCAAACACAGGTCATGGCTATTGTTACTTGAGCAAAAGTCTAATATGAATCTTCAGTCCCGAACAACTTTTAGCTTCTTCCAGAAAAAAAATGATATAGTTGGTATTGGCTAATTGAATCTAATCCCACTTTATTATTAGCAACCGCCCTTGAAATTACAAGCCAGTGCGTTTGGACGATTGCGTTCCCTTTCCGCTTTCCTTTCTTCTAATCCTTTCATCTCCAGTCAGCCTGCATTTCATTAAATGTTTTTATTCACACTGGACTCCAGACGTGCGTAGTAAACGTGTGGAGACTATTAGGTTAAGGGCTTGATTAAAAGCGCTTCCCGCATGCGCGCTGTCATGGGAGTGCATGTTGTTGCATCCAGGTGAGGTATTACAACATTATTAGACTTCCACTGCTACTGTTGGGTCTCAAATTAAAACCAGAACAAGCCCAGTGTCGCGCTTGTATATGTGTGAACACGATTAGAGCGCAAAAGTGGCGCAGTTCTATTCTTCAAATGAACAAATGAAACATCAAATTAGTTCGCCCGAGGCTCTCATTTTTTGCACTTCTACATTATAACTAGTTATTGAACTAGGTGCACGATCTGAAAGTCATTTGTAGAGGGAAAGAATTCATTGCTGTCCCTCCATCAATAATCCTTGGCAGTGAACTATTGGAGGCAGTCAAACGCGAGGGTGAACTGCGGGTCAGCCTGTCTAACTAATATTAAAATGCACCTTCAGTAGGGAGCGTGCGTGTGTGTGTGTGCGTGCGTGTGTGGCTGCACGTGCACGCGCCGCTTCACACAACAACAGCAATAATATCAAACTTTGCAGCATCTTCTTTTCGGGTATTTCTTCCAACCCGCATGCATGATATTGACGCGCAGAGAAATATGGAGACATAGATGTTTATTGACAGTGCCTGAAGTTGCTCCCTCGTTTCTTCCTTCCACTGTAATCAATAACATCGATTCACAATCTGAACATGTTTGCTGTTTTTAATAACCCCCTCTCCCAAACAGCTCGCATGTCTGATATCGTGATTTTTCATTCTTGGTTTCTCATTAGCTTCCATAGTGGCAGGGAAAAAGGGTTAGCGAGCGGTCAGTATGGTAATGGCAAGCAGAAGAAATGGTTCTGAACAATAGAAACTTATTTTTCATGCGGCCTGTCACGCTGCCCCTTTGTACGCTCCGTGTTTGGGACTGAATATTCATACAGCAGACAGCTTATGGACCTGAGTTGCATGTTGAAAAGGGAGAATCTCTCATCTTTTCTTCCCGTGGACAACCTTGATGTTTAAAATGTATCTTCGTGTGTAGAATATAATGTTTTTGCGCAGGTGCACTTGGTCATTTTGATGTATCTTTTGACTTTTCCTGTATTTTTGGAGATCTATCCCAAACTCATTAGTTGTCTATATGTACCCTGTAGAACCGAATTTGTGTAAATAATGAACCGCAAATGCGTGTCTACAGGAATACATGGTCAACTGAAATCCCACGCCACAGGACCTTTTTGCATCTTATAGAATTATGAAGTGACTCCGTATATTACACTGAGAGCTTCAGGCCCACGCGCTGAAATCTGCAGCCACTCCTGTGTCAGACCCTGTAAAACACGTTAGGAACAAGAGGTCGTTTTAAAGTGACTGATTTACAGCTTTTATTGCTCTATAAAACGCCTCTAACATCCTTGCAAAGGGTAATAGAAATGTCGTGCGCATTTTGTACAAGCAGCCCAGTACAGAAATATACCGTTAGAAACAATATTATGTAATTATTGCTTTAGAAATAACCCAGTTAGCTGTAATCCGATGCTGGTGGACAGTTAACAGGCACGTGGGGTATTTGGGGATATTTATTTCAGGAATAGATCTCGTGAGTGTTTGCAGAGGCATGTGTGCTGTTAAGATGACAGTCATTACCACCTCTTAAAGGATCTGTATTGAATAAACATGCCACAGTAGCTGCAGATACCACCGAGTCACTTTTTTCAATGTTTATGGAAAGTACATCCTTATACATTTAGTGTCAGATACTAGAGTGTGAAAGTTGTGGTACTTTTCTTAAAGCGTTATGTTTCTGTTTTTTTGTATTACAATGTTGTATCTATGTGGGCAAGTGTGCTATACTCTTTTGCTTTAAATTGTCTTTATGGTTGTTTGTTTTGTTGTGGTTATTTGATGAATAACAAGGACTACTATTCGGATAACATTTACACAATCATGCATCCATTGTGCAATATAATTATCTACATAAACATGGTGGTATTTTTTTGTTGAGGCAGAATTACAAAGCTTTCTGGGGTGGGGTAAAAGCGCATGGAACATTCTGATTTGAAATACAAATTTTATTTGGAAGATCAACGACATTTCTATGTTGACAAGAGAGATTTCAACTCCGCATTCGATACGTCAGAGACAGTGTCCTTTTGCACAGGCTGCCACACTGTAGGTGGGAATCTGGCAGCTCTGAATGGTTCAAGGGCTACCTCAGCAATGGACTTTTTGTTTTCCCCAAACACCTGTTATCTCACAAGGTTATCTAGAGTAAGTTGTCAGTAAGAACGTAATCTTAAAAACAAAAAAAATAAAAAAAATAAAGGGAGGATGCGCACCCATCATCTGTACCTCAGTGAGTGAACTGAAGTACAGATGATGGGTGAGCATCCTTTCTTTGTTTTGAATAATACCTTACACAAAGTTTATTTATGTAGCGCATTTCACAGACCTAGGTTCCAAATAGCAGTACATAATTTTGTTTATAAAGCACCAAACACCTGGCACATCGAAGCCTCTGACCATCCGCATCTGTTCACTCACACATTCAATTCAGACCTATTGTATACCACCTTTTAGTGGTAGGGGGCAGGTTTCCACAGGGTTCAATTCTCGGCCCACTTTAATTCAATTTGATGTATACTTGTATAGCCCTAAATCACAACAGTAGTCATTTTAGAGGACTTAATAAGGCCAGAGAATAACATATTGGTATTGGTCCAAAGGGAGTTGACTAATGTCCGTGAATTTTGTTGTAGTTCAATTGTATGTACTTATATTTACAATATACAGTACAATAATTATGCTGATGATAAGCAGTTACATGTCTGTTTACTATTTAAAGTGCGTATGACATTTAAGATTTTCCCAAAAAAATTATCCTCATTCGACCATTTAAAAAAAATAACGCAAGGGATGTTGTCTAGCAACCATGTGATAAGACTCCTAAGAGCAGACATTATTATTTGACTAATTACATTCTGAGAATTCAGAAAGTGAGCTTTTTCATGAATGTCTTTGCCGAAACGCTCTGAAGAAGGCCGCCAGGCCTTTCTGAACTTTTTACAGATGTGCTACACAAGCAACAAAGAAAACAAATGCAGAACTTCATCTTATACTTCATGATAATATTTGATTATTTAAATGAGTGAAAAATCAAAGGGTCATAAACCTGTTCTAGAACTCAGCTCTATACTTTCTGGACGTCATAGCTTTTTTCATACTTTTTTTCTTTACTGGTGTCAAACTATTACTTACACTTTAAAGTGTCATTCCACCAAAGTGTTGAAATAAGATAGTAGACTGTCACAGGCATAAGTTTGGACTTTTATGTTAATTATCTTGACATTACAAGTCAACTTTCTGCAACTAAAATTGTGTGTAGGGCCTGAGGAGACAAAGGAAAGATTATGGACTCATTTGGCTCTTCTGGCTTGGAGTCCAGTGTATACGCACACACACCTGCATGTGTCACCCGTGGATTAGATTACTGTAATGCTTTCTTATCAGGCCTTAAATAAATCTGACTGTAGTTTGTGTTTTGATTCGGAAAAGAAAAAGATCTCACATCACACTTGTATCAAAAGATCTTAATTGGCTCAGGCTCGGATTGACTTTAACTTCTTTATTTTGCTTTATAAAGCGTTCAAACCTTACTTTACTTCAACATCAACATCAAGAGTAATCTGAGACACACTTGCTTGGACGGTCTTTTCTTGAGACTTACTTTGTTGCAGTAATAAATGACATGTGTTATATAAATAAATCCCACGATTTATTTGCACAAATCCTCTTCCATGTATGAGTCAGATGTTTGGAGATGTAAGTGTGCTCACTAGACTTTTTAGAACATTCAAAAAGAAAAAGTACATTATATTTTTCAACCCTACAGTAATGTTCTGGGGACATGAGATTATAGAGTGGCTTCTTCTTCTTTTTATTTTTTTGAGCATCACAGATTCACATTTTTCAGCATGATTTGACCAAAGCCTGAGGTTCAGCAGACATTACACAAAACAAAGGAAGTACACTTCTCCAGTGTGGGATTTATAAAGTCTACCTTATCTTATCTTAAGTAAGGAAAGTAACTAACACCTTCTTGCTTGTGTGAATGAGAAGTGCAATGTTTTTGTCCCTGCACAGTTTGGGGTCAGATGCTGATGCAGACAGCTCTGCACTGGACCAGGTCGTGTCCTAAAGCCCCATATATTTGAAGACTGTTGTTCTTTCTAGCCTTCCTATGTTGTTTAATTCCTTCCTATAAGCAGACTTGCCCCTCCACAAACTAGACTAGAAGAATACATGGCTTCTCATACTTGTTTTTCATTCATTTCTAAAGTTTGATTACATTTTCTAAGGGTCAAGTCTCCAGAAAGTTACTGTTGATGTTAAAGAGAAAAATACAAAATGACAGCTTAAATTTATACTTGATATTTAAATTACAATTCATACTGTCTGTTGTTTCCATCAAAAAACATATACTTTATATATAAAAACCCAATAACCAGGTTCAATAGTGGTTGAAGAAGCTATCTTGTGTTGGCTGTCCTTCTGACTCCGTGCAGTTTGTTGTAAACAAACACTGTAGTTTTATGAGCACAATGATTACAGGTTGATCCAGCCCATTTGCCTTTCAAACTATGGGACTGATTCACAATCTTAGTGACAAGTTCTAACAAAGCTTGTTTGAAACATACTGGATGTGCTCTAACATGACCAACAACAAGGGAGGACACGGACCCATGCTTCGGCTCCTAACATACAAACTGATGTTTCACACTTGAACTGCTAATGGTAAAGGCTGTATGTTCATTAATTAACACGGTAACCTTTGTATTGGATGCCAAGCTTTCAAAATGATTGCTCTTCTATTGTTGTATCTTATCCTTGGTGCATCACCTATTGTCCCTGTGAATAATTGAGTCCATAGGATTTTGCCTGTTTTATTTTTTTTGCCATGGTCAGCAACTAGCTACTAGTTTTGTCCCCAAGATCAATGGCTCTGGTAACACAACTAGAGAGAGGAGAGATAGATAAAGAGAGAGAGGTAGCATTGTGCCCACAATGGCGACTGGAGGTATGAAATACCTCTGGTTCCTTATCCGGGAACTACCTCTGACTCTGCTATTGGGCCATTTGGTCACGTGGTAAAAGTAACTTTACAGGGCTGCTCGCAAGTAGGAGGGCTTTATGGAGCAGAAAAACGACAAAGCTAGAAAAATTATTTTCCACTCCAGAAATTAATGATCATGAGCTCGTATTTGATGGAGTCTAACTACATTGATCCGAAATTTCCTCCATGCGAGGAATATTCGCAAAATAACTACATCCCTGAGCATAGTCCAGAATATTACAGCCGCGCGAGGGACTCTGGCTACCAGCATCATCACCAGGAGTTATATCCACCTCCGCGGGCGACCTACCAAGAGCGCCAGTATAACTGTGCAAGCATCCCAGAACCTGACACGCCACGGGGACATGGAATAGCCCACTCTGCACACCTGCTCTCTGGTAAAGGGCAGCCAGCATCCTGTGAAACCTCACAGTTGTCCATGTCCCCTGCCACCCCACCGGCCGCAACCTCCGCCTGCAACCAAGCCACGCCGGAGCATCCCAACAGCTCTGCGTCCTCCAAGCAGCCTGTGGTGTATCCCTGGATGAAAAAGATTCACTCCAGCACGGGTAGGCAACTTGTGTGTTCATGTTCCTTCTCTCCTTTTATCTATGTGCCTCTTACTCCCAGCTCGTTGCCAGCCCCTGCTCCGATAGCAGGGAAGCCTTTGAAATGGCACAATTGAGGCGGATTTACGACTCGGCATTGGTAATTACACCCACCATAAATTTTATAGCTGAGGTATACTCAGGGCAGTCGTATCGCCATGTGGCTTTTGCTGTTATGTATTGCACCACCGCCAGGGAGAGGGGGTAGAAATAAAGAAAAAAAGTAGCTTTGTAATCTTGCATTAATAATTTAGATTATTGCTTGATGTGAGGGTGCTCTCGTTACGCAGATAACTTCTTGACTTCCCATTTGCAATTCCAATAGCTAAACATGCATTAAATCTCTTTGCACATTCTGGCCATTTTCGTTTACTCATATTTTCCCTTCTGCACATTTTTTGCAGTAACCTCGGGATACAATGGGACGGAGCCCAAGCGGTCTCGGACAGCGTACACCCGGCAGCAAGTCTTAGAGCTGGAGAAGGAGTTCCACTATAACCGCTATTTAACTCGACGAAGACGCATTGAGATCGCACACACCCTGGTGCTGTCCGAGCGGCAGATAAAGATCTGGTTTCAGAACCGCAGAATGAAATGGAAAAAGGACCACAGGCTGCCCAACACCAAAGTGCGCTCGTCCTCAGCCTCCAGCTCAGGGGCCGCGGCTGCAGCAGCCTCCGTGTCTAACTCCAGTGCGGATGAACTAAGCGCACAGCACGGAGAGGACATCACCAGGTTATAAGCGCCGGGACAGATTCTTATTTATAGAACTATGACACCTTTTGTTTGGTAGATATCTTGTGCGGTTTCCTTTAAGTCCAAAGTTATATAAAATGCATGTTATATAGCATGGATTACTGCGAATACCGATTTATTATTTGTACGTGACACAGGGTTTAATTTATTTGAAGTCCAATTTAAAGTTGTTTTTATTAAAATGTTTTGAATGAAGGAAAACAAAGAAAAAATATCAGAATGTTATTGTGGGCCAGTCTTTCGCCCTGCTGCCTATAGGTGAAATGCACAATCTATTTATTTCAAACACTGGAAGCAAATCAATATAATGATAGTTATTTTTGGTATAAGCTGATACACACCATTGATATTGAAGTTAATGTGTGATTTACCTCGTGTATTTCAGATAATGCCTTTTCATTTCAATTTCGTTTTGTGGTGTTGATGTTGTGTTTAGACCGTTTATTGTTAACTGCAATGAACGGGGTTTAGTGTATTTGTGCTAATCATACTGGTCAATAAAACCGTGTATGTTCTTGTTTTAAACCCGTTTGCCGAAGCTTTATTCCAGGCAGGATGAGGTCTGCTGGGGTTGGCATATTGGCCACATTATCTGGGATTGTCTCCTTCATACTGTGGGTCATCAGGTACAAGAGTGTGTTTATTATGGCCTTTTTTTTCCTGTTTTCAATTTTAAATGATGTCCTATCTGTCTGAGGGCATTTAATACGCGCTCACCACAGCCCACTGAGGCCCATATCAATCACCAAACCGACCACAAGCTGCATGTTGTGAGAGAACATTGTAAGTTGTTGTAATATATTTTCTAAAATTCGTTTTTTGTAGTCTGACTTCACGTGTGAACCCCCACCCCCAAAATAAAGTGGTGAACATGTAGCCGGGATGTGTTTTCCTCTTTAATAGCCAAACCGATATTGGGGAATTGGTGTGCGTAAAATGCTGCTTCCTAGTGGTTTTCTCCAGACTCAGCACCACCGAAGCGCACTTAAATTGACGTATAAACAAATAAACAAATAACAAGGACTGCAAATTCATCGTGATTTTTGTCTCCGCATATGCTGCATGGCGTCCACTAAATATTACTTCATGTATATCACTCAATGTATGCGATCTGCAGTTTGTTTTATTCCAAAATCATCATGTTTTTCAAGCTTTTGGACACATCTCGAGCACAGATTGAAGCATTACTTGGAGCCAGAGACGCGAAAGAATTTGATAGATTATTGAAATCTGACATGAATAGGCCTTATAAAATGCCTGACCTAGTGGGGGGCGCTGGGCCACAAAAGAAAGAGACATTCTCGATCATTAATCTTTCACTGCACAGCTTTGTGTAAATTTGGCAAAACCTTCTCGACGAAACGTATTTACATACCATCCAATATTCTAAATAAAGATGTTGTCCATATTCTATATAAAAATGTATTCCCCAAAAAAGTCCTCCATATAGACGTTTGAAGTGTAGGCCTATACATTGCTTTATGGATTTTTGGAGTGCAGTGGTCGTGGTTCTTTGTAAAGGCGTAAGAGTGCCATTGAGGCGATGCTGAAAAATGATTCCTGCACCCTTTATGTTGCTGGACACATTAGAGAAATTAATGTCCTCACCAAAGTCGCAGCATCCGTCCACTCCCATTGGAGGCCTGTCGCCTACACGCCGTGCCTCTCAAAAGCCACGTTACTTACGTTTTTGTAGCAAAGTAAGGACCAAGTTCACCTCAAGGACAGATGTTCTGTTTTCTTCTGTTTGGAATACCGTTCTTTCCGCACACTGATGCAGCATGCTTTGGTTTGATATTGGCTCCATGAAGATCAAAACTTGGGCTCGGACTTCAAACATTGCGTTATTGTAGCATATTGGCGGCTCATTGCCAAATTGTTTTAGTTCAAGGAATAAGGAAGTGAATCTCAGGACAAAGCAGACATCTTTGGAGAGTCCTAACATGTATCTGTTTTTTTATATGGAGTTCACTTTTGACGTGGGAATAGTTTAGGAAACGAATGAGAAGTGATTTCAAGTTTCTTAAACAAACGCTTGTGTCACTTGATGTTATCCCTAAATCAGATACTGGCGTTTTTATATTAGACTTAAAACACATCTTATCTTTGCATTGTGTTATGTCAACTGCATAATGTTCCAAGACATATGTTGTGTTTGCATCACCATGGCATCATTTTCAATTCGTGGCAGTTTCAGGGCCTAATACCAAAAATGTGAAAAAAATCCAAATTTTATCTAATTGCCTTCAGAAACTACACAAATAACCAGAATCAAAAGTGAATCTTTGGTATTTTCGACAGGTTTAAAAACCATACTCGACAATCAATAAATTAATGAATAACTATGGACCTGCAGGGACGTATAGTTTCTTCTTTTCATCCCAACAGATATAATAAACAAATGGGCTGATTTCTGAAAAATATCCAACAAATACATGCTGCCCATGGGTTTGTAAACCATAGATGGGAGGCTAAAGGGGATTGTGTCATGTTGAACAGCGGAGGCTGAAATAACTTCAAGCTCGTTGTTATTTTTATATTTATTATATATATTATTATTATATTTCAGCATCTCCCTTGAACAACTTATATTTTAGATTTAACATGGCATTTCCTTCACCAACCAAACACAGCAGTCTCAGGTTACATTCTTTGGGCAATGAGTGATTTATGTGCACATGGGGCGGGCCCCATGAGTCTTCGAGAAAGATTTCCAACTTTGCAGTGAAAGGCAGCGTATCAGCTGTTTCAATACCTGCAAAAGTAAACAGTGTCCTGGTCTCAGGTGAGTGTCGTCTGCTCACTCAGTGGTAATGAAAGGTCTAGGCCAGCGCTTTGTGGCTCTGTAGTGTGCATGAAAAGCAGCCGTGGCAGCTACATAAAGGCGCAGAGTTGAAACAGGGGTCACAAAGCTATTTTCTCGGGACAGACTCCCTCTGCCTCTCACTGACCAGCGGTGGGTGTGCCACAGATCCGTAAATCTCTCTCCATCAGCAACAGATGCAGCGCGTCTTTTCTTCTGGCCCTGGACTCTACTCATTTACATACAATTATTCAGACACGTTCAAATGATTTACTGTGGAGCTGTGGAACCTTTAAAGCCTGGATCAAGAGTCGCATTTTAGACGTCTATTACAATATTTCTACTGTATTTGACAAACTAATTGTTCTGGGTTGGATTATCATTATTGAGCTGTTCCAAATGTCGCCGGCAGAGTTATGATTATATAATATTTACTTATCATTACCGAACAGATTAAATATCAAATATGATATTTACAATATGCAACAGAATAGTGAAGGTCTTCATGGTTTGAAGTTGATTATAGGGCAATTGATGTTCGTGTTCGTACATATGCCAATGATTATAGGTCTATTTTTATACAGGCTCTGTGGGCTGCACGTTACACCGACAGCCTCATTTGTTTGCAGCTCTGTAAAGCCCACAGAATCAGAAAAGGATCATACTAATAGGTTGGGGCTATACACGATAGTGCATTGCTCTTTTTTATATGACCCTATTATTACATTTGTCTATTTCATATTATATATTTTAGAAATAACACTTCTTGTGTGCAGATGCTGCATTGCCACAAGGGCAAAGGCAAATTATATTTTCCTCTTATTTCACAGATTAGGCCAAAGCTTGTTCAGGGAATTGACAATGTGTGTCTCTTTCCCACTTATGAAGTGCAGTCTCTAAACTCTAGTCCTTTCATTTCAGTCTGCATTGTTTACAGCAATATAGGGCACTGGGCCCATAAATCTTCTGCAAGCTCTGCCAAGACAGCGCCATTTGTATGCACCGTTTTAACCGACAGCATCCTCTGCCCATTAACGTCTCCTCGCAGTTCTCCCTCAGTCTGTTCTTATCTGCCCACCTTCGTCCCCTGCGCACAGCCACATCTCTGCAGAGCACAGCACCAAATGAATGCATATGAATAAAGGTATATGCATCGGAGCACGTTTGTGTTATAGCTGCAGTCTCCGCGTCTCCCCACTGCGCGCACTGCAGCCTCTCTTGCGCCATTTCCAGTGTTATTGGAATGGGAAATAAAAGTTTATCGACGGTTTCTTTGCTTGTTTATGTCAGCAGCTACGAGAGCGCAGAAGGTAAGGAGGAATTGTAAAAGGGTTGACACCCAGAGCGACCAGCGCGCTTTTGTGTGAGAGAGAAAAAATGATTTATAGTCAGCAAGGCAGTTCAAACAGAGTTCACGGAGAATTGTGGTGGAGGCGCGGAGGAGCTAAATTATGGTCTTGCTGAGCTAGTATATCATAGATTCTATCTCCAATGCAGCGAGTTCAAGGGTGCGAAATAGGGTGTAAAAAACATCAGGTTAATGATAATAGGCTAATAATAATAATAACAATGAAATTACAATAATAATAATAATAATAAAATAACAATAATAATAATCAAAATAATAATGATGCTATTGACGATTTTTATATTCAAACTACAATCACAGCCACGTGATCATCTCGCTTCATATCACTTATGACATGTCTCGGCTCTGGTTCAGGTGAACTGGTAAAAAAGAAGAAAAGCTCTTGTGCTCCTCTCCTTTTCCATGAGAGCGTAATCCATCACAGCAGTACGACACCTAAAGAGAGGCTTCTCGACAGCTTTGTTGTAGTGAAACATTGGAACTTCTCGAGATAGAGCATGCCGCACAATATGCCAACATGACCCTTTTTGTTACACTGTGTAAAATTGTTGAAAGCTTCATTATTCTGCTTATTAATGCACTTTGCATACATTTGCAGGAATTAAGCGGTGGCGTATGAACTGATTTTTCAAGAGTCTTGACTTGACCATACGTTGATATTTCTATGTAATATTATGCATGAGTCTGTGTGGCTCCAGGGATAGTCAGGGTCATGTGCAGATATGTGTGTTCTGGTGTATGTGTGTTCTGATGTGTTATGATATTCAAATGTGGATCAAATTGTCCATTCTAGGCCAAAGCTGGTACACAATATAAACTGTTACAAAATGATAGCTTTTACAATGGGGGAGTTTTGCGCCAAAATGTCTTCTCGTCGTGCATATGGACAGACACTTGATATGTGATGCCTGATTAATGCAAGTGCTTTGAGTGTTGGCGTAAAAAAAACAGTAATGATTGCTTCCTTTGTCTTTCTGCGGCAATGACTGTCAAAGCCTTTGTTTGACCGCTCCCCGTGAATCCCATTAAGCTGCTATTGCGCGCAGACAGTTACAAGCATATGCTATTTTAAGAGAAGCGCGCCGATTTCAAGTGACCAGTAAAACGAGCAAGTTATCTAAAAATAGTAACGCGTAAGAGCGTGCTGCAGACTAAATCAGACACAGGAATGAATGAGACGGCCGCAAAGATCAAAATGAATATTTATTATGGATCTTAAGACGACATACACATAGAGCAACTTAATTATTACAACGTTTCTCACCAAGAGTATCTTCAATGAAAACAAATATAGGTAGGAGGAAATAAATAATTATGTACATAAATAGGCCTAAATAAATCCATAGAAAACACTCCATTAAGCGAGAATTTGCGTTTTCTGCAGGCTGTATAAACGCGCGTAACGCTAAACAGGAAAATTCAACATCTGAAAAAAGTATCAATATGCGCAAATATAGAATTATAGAAAGAAAGGAAAACAGCAATCCACAAAATATCTTCAAACTGAGTTAGCTCGTTAGATATGCGCCTGTAGTCACAACTGCTCGAACAAACCAACCAACCTCCCTCTTTCCCAGACAGAAAATAAAGGTGTTCGCGTTTCCTCATATTCCTTTGTGTTTTTCATTTATAGGTAGGAAAAGTCTCCGGCTCCTAAAAGAAGAGTTGTCTAAAACAGACGCGCCACTCGGAGTCCCAAGTTGCATGGAGGATAACTCGTCAGTTCAACCATTGGAGGAGAGCCACACGTGACCACGACCCCCTTCTGGTAAATAATATTCAAATGTGCCACCTATAGTTAGTTCAAGTGCTGTTTCTGCGTGCCTTTCTGAAAACGGTCAATTGTAATCAAACTTGAATACTACCAAAGGATTTGTGATTTTATTTGAATAATTTTGGCAAGTCTAATCCATGGACCCCTGGCATCATACCCTCTCACCGCAGGCTGATGGCAACTCTTTGGCTTTAAGCTCTGGACAAGTGCCAAATGTGCAATACAATGAAGCAGGGAGAAGTGGAGACGGTCAAGATGAAACTCTAATGCCATCTACTCATGTAACTTCCAGGTTGAGCCCAGGTGAGCCATTCCAGAGCCCACCCTTCCTCCAGGCTCAGTGCCACAGCAAGGGCAAGAAGGACGCCAGGAGCAGGGGCTGCAATCTCATCACCATCTGCCACTCAGGATTAATCTTTCCCTGGATGAAGTCTCGGACAAGTGACACCCCACAGTCTGGTAACCTTGCATTTTCTTTTCTTTTCTTTTTTTAACCAGACACTTGTATCAGTACTTCTGGGGAAATATTTGTTCATCAGAAAAACAACAACATTGGGTAGTTTATTAAACTGTAAATGTACTGATTTCTTAATTTGAGTTTATGATGGTTAGAATCTGTGGTACAGTCAGAGCTGCACACCTGTGCCACCTGCATAATTCATTACAAGGACATTACTAAGATGTATTTCTCCTCTGAGATGTTTTAAATAAATTATTATTTGAATTTGATAATTGATTCTAAAAGGTAGAGCACAGTTAAAAATGCCACTGCTTGATATTATAACCTAGTCGTATGACATTAAAATAGAACAAGTGACGACCCGCTGTAATAGATAAATTGGAAAAGTACTTTTTCATATCTGCAGCCACTCATAAAAAACAGAGGAAGCCCACAAGCTGAGCTGCAGCATCCAGCAAAGTGGAGTTGAGTTAAGGAGTGATGCGTGCTCTCTAAGGTCACTTTAGACCCTTTTTAATATCCATTAACTCAGCTAGATGCTGTTGTTATCAACAGTGCTCCACTAGTGCTCATATACATGTCAAATGGAATCTCTAATGGTGGTTATTTTCAGTGGTGGTCCCTAGATACATTTAAATGACTGAGATGGGGATTTGACAGGTCTGCTTCCATGTGCAGCTGTGATTAATGTGGCCTGTCACTGTGGTGTAGTGGCGTCAGATGTTTCCCCCAGACTGTTTCTTTGGGAGCGAACTTTCCCTGAGCACATCACACCACAGACAGCCAGTCGGGTACAGTGTCTGCATGAGGCAGCTCTGTGCCATGTTGTGTCTCAGGTTGATTGGTACAGGATTACTGCAGCTCTCCACAGAGGGTACATGATGGACTTGTTAGATGTCTGACACTCTGTGCTCTTCTTTTCCCAGTCAGCAGCAGTGAGACGGCTCCACTGGGAAGAGGCAGCCACAGCCTCCGCAGGGAGAGGACAGCCTTCACCAACAGCCAGCTGCTGGAGCTCGAGAAAGAGTTTCACTTCAGCCCGTACCTGTCTCGATCCCGGAGGATGGAGATGGCCCTCGGGCTTAAACTCACAGACCGCCAAGTAAAGATCTGGTTTCAGAACCGCAGGATGAGATACAAGAAAGAAAAGAAACTCCAAAAAAGCCATTTCTTGATTCCACCAATGATGTCCAGCTCTTGTCAGCACAAGATTCCACACACTGTATCTTCTCCAGAGTTTCACTCTTTGAACTTTACCGCCAAGCAATCAGCATTCTGTTGCTCTTATGGGGTCAGTGATCAGGGCAACATAGAGGACTTCTCTAATTTAAACTGCACGTTTTTATCTATTGAAAACGGGTACAGATCCTCCTACACTTCTCCAGATAATCATGACAACACTGCAATTTTAAACTGGCTGTGATGAACAAACTTCCCATGTTACTGCATTCTTCTATCTAATGGAACACCCAATTCAGTAAATTGCATTAAAATTGAGGCTAAATTCTTGTAACATAATTCTGGTGAGTCATTTTTCATAAACACTCACTTTTGTACATAGATGTTCATTACTCTGCATAACATTTTCATAATCTTACTTTTGTGTCAACTGTAATTGTTGCTAATGGTTATATTAGTTTAGTTGAAACCTACTTTATCACAGCAAATTAAAGGAATGTTGTGCAAAATGTTTTTCAATGGAATATTCAAACAACTTGATAAATGGAGGTATCACTACTGAACTGCACATGCCGAATAAATGTATTCGGGAAACATCCTATACCTCCTGTGCGTCGTGCAGTCCTGCTTTGTATTACATGTTTTTGTATTATGTATCTAATGATTAAGGGTGAAATTAAAGTTTGCTTTATAGATTCATTGAAAAAAAACTCCAAAGTATTGTGCATTCATGTTGCACAATCTTGCCACAAAGCCTCTCCCTCGCGCCCGCCTTCAAGTGAACCACCATTAATCACACAGACAAGGCGGTCTTTCCAGCACTCCAACCACAAGCTCTGAACCCACTGGGCATGACGACAAGATCTCCAGCCTCCTCCTTCTCCAGCTCTGCCGTTTCAATAGCCAAATTGTGCTGCGGCAAGTCAGGGCTGGCCTCTCTCTCGGGGGGCATGTTAGATGTAACTGAGGAGCCTTCCACCGGCCACAACAAACCGGAGGCTCAATCACTAACGTCAACATTATCCATGACGCTCACAATGACAGGGGCTATGTTTTCACTACTTTGACATTGTTTTGTGGGAAGTAAAAACAAATTAATTGTTTTACTTTCAAAATTGGACGGTGATGAGAATGATCTACCAATTAGTTTTCCTTATTTGACAGAAGTGGGTCACATATCTCTCTGGTATAAATAAAAAACTACATTAATCAACGTTGCAACAAATGACAAGTGCACACACTTCTTTGACTTTATGATGTATATTTATCAATGAAAACAAATGGCAGACGATTTGTAGACACGCTGACAGTTTTATTAGTAACTGAACTGTAAAAGAGATGTCACTGACAAGTACTGACAGCTGTAACATCCAGGAAAGAGCAAGAGAACAGATCCTCTAGTGGTTCTGCTCGAAATGACTTCTAATTCATGAATATTGGCAGATCAAGTTCTTGTCCATACAGTGTCGTATTAGAGCAGATGCCTAATGAGAGCTATATGTAAAACGGAATTGAGCTGACAATTACGAAAAGGAAGTTACAAAGGCTACACAAAGGTCAATGTGAACGTGTTTGTGTGAGTTTGAATGGGACAAACTGTGAAACATAAAGCACTTTTGGTTGGATTCCTAGGATTCTTGTATAAGAGGAGTGATATATGGTGCTTACAGAGTAGGACCTTTACCTCCAGTCTCAACCCTTACACACTGGGTTTCACTGAGCACTACAGCCAGGAGGACCCACACATTGTGCAGTTATTTCGTGGAGAATGTCAAGGGGGTCCTTGGGGGGGTCAACAGAAGCCCCCAAGGGCCGCATTTCACCAGGGAGGGACTGACTTCTATTTTAACACTGAGCAGTTCTCACATGAGGTCACTCCTGACAGCCTCGAAAGTCACCCAGGTGCTCCCTCTCCTGCTTTGTTTATAGTGATTTCCAAACCATTCAAATGATAATAAAAATAATAATAATAATACAAAAACAAATAATAATAATATTTGACAATAAAGACAACAACAATCATCATAATTTACATACTAGTAAGTTTAAAAAAGAGACCAGAGAGGGGGACTAGAGAAAGACATTAGAAAGACAGATCGGAGAGAGAGAGACTAGAGAAAAGAGAGAGCCCAGAGTGAGAGACCAGAGAGACAAGAGAGAGAGTGAGAGACCAGAGAGAGACCAGAGGCAAGAGAGAAACTAGAGTGAGAGACCAGAGAGACAAGAGAGAGACTAGAGTGAGAGAACAGAGAGACAAGAGAGAGACTAGAGTGAGAGACCAGAGAGACAAGAGAGAGACTAGAGTGAGAGACCAGAGAGAGACCAGAGTGAGAGACCAGAGGCAAGAGAGAAACTAGAGTGAGAGACCAGAGAGACAAGAGAGAGACTAGAGTGAGAGACCAGAGAGAGACCAGAGAGAGACCAGAGTGAGAGACCAGAGAGAGACCGGAGTGAGAGACCAGAGAGACAAGAGAGACCAGAGTGAGAAACCACAGAGAGACCAGACAGAGACTAGAGTGAGAGACCAGAGAGAGACCAGAGACAAGAGAGAGACTAGAGTGAGAGACCAGAGAGACAAGAGAGAGACTAGAGTGAGAGACCAGAGAGACAAGAGAGAGACTAGAGTGAGAGACCAGAGAAAGGGAGTATAGAGACAAGAGAGAGACCAGAGTGAGAGACCAGAGAGACAAGAGAGAGACTAGAGTGAGAGACCAGAGAGAGGGACTACACAGAGGGACTAGAATGAGAGACCAGAGTGAGAGACCAGAGAGACTAGAGAGAGAGACCAGAGTAAGAGACTAGATACAAGAGAGAGACTAGAGTGAGACTAGAGTGAGAGACCAGAGAGAGGGACTACACAGAGGGACTAGAATGAGAGACCAGAGTGAGAGACCAGAGAGACTAGAGAGAGAGACCAGAGTGAGAGACTAGATACAAGAGAGAGTGACTACTAGAGTAGTATACTAGAGTGAGACTAGAGTGAGAGACCAGAGAGACTAGAGACCAAAGAGAGACTACAGTGAGAGACCAGAGAGACTAGAGACCAGAGAGAGACTAGAGTGAGAGACCAGAGAGACAAGAGAGAGACCAGAGTGAGAGACCAGAGAGACTAGAGACCAAAGAGAGACTACAGTGAGAGACCAGAGAGACTAGAGACCAGAGAGAGACTAGAGTGAGAGACCAGAGAGACAAGAGAGAGACCAGAGTGAGAGACCAGAGAGACTAGAGACCAAAGAGAGACTACAGTGAGAGACCAGAGAGACTAGAGACCAGAGAGAGACTAGAGTGAGAGACCAGAGAGACAAGAGAGAGACCAGAGTGAGAGACCAGAGAGACTAGAGACCAGAGAGAGACTAGAGTGAGAGACCAGAGAGAGGGACTATACAGGGGGACTAGAGAGAGAGACCAGAGATGTTATTTCTCTAATTTCCAAAAACTACTCTAATTAGTATGAAAAAATAAAAATAAAAGTATTAGGACAACTCTTCCCTGCAAGAGCCTGAGCTTATGTCCAGTTAAAATATTCAGGGCCGACACTTTCTAAAACCAAGTCTCCGAGTGCACATTTGAAATCATAATATGTGCGATGTGCATCTTTTCTGTACAGGTTGACATCTTGGCTCTGGCTGGGTGCTCATTCTGCATAATATACTGGCCTTTATTTGACGTTTACTGCACAATCCTTCTTTGCCTTATGTTCAGCGGAAAGGCAAAGGTACAGAGGCCTCTGAAAGCAGCTCAACATGCAGCACAAATCAATCCATGTTTTGCTTCGTGTGTAAACTGGGACAAGAGTTATTTGACTGGTTTGTGGGAAGAAAGGAATTGAATTTTCCGTGTAGTCCATATTTTCTTGGGGGTGCAACATTTGAAAGGATCGGCCCATTGGCACATATCAATTAGAATGAAGTCAATCTTCTCCCACCTCATCAGCAACTGTGTTTCAGTCCTGTGTTTCAACACGATTTCCCCTTTAATCTAAGGCCATCTACCTGGTAACTTTTCTACTGAGTACCACAAAGCTTCTGATACAGTGAACTATTATTACTCTTTTATTAGCCAAACTTTAGTATTTCATAAAAAGGAAAAATAATTGATAAGTTACAAGTTACAAGTAGTCTGAATTGGTCAAGATAAAACAGATCCGCCAAACTGTAATAGAGCTCCCCCAAGGCAGACGGCTCAGGTCTTTACTTCATCCCGTGTATTGATTATGTATACGTATTATGGATATAAAATTGAAACCTACATGTATTCTTATTTTTTGTGAACATTGCAGAGTAAACTGACATACATATTCTTATGCAAGAAAAAATCCAGAAATGCAAGTATTTCTGAATAAGCCTTATTGATTATTGTCAATGTAGACTTTGAATTTAAAATGGTCAAGTTTTTTACTCTGAATCTGGGGAAAACTTTAAAAGAATGGAATACATGCATCTTATCCTCTCAACTGGATTTTGGTCAGGGTCTACACCCATGCAATAACTTATTTACAGTTTATATAACTGTGGTACGTGTGCCACTGGTGGTAATTGAGCTCATTCTGGTGGAACACAGATTCTGCAGCAATTCAATTTTTTTCATCCAACTACGTGGTTTAGTTTCATCATTTCACATTTTTAGATCAGCTTTTCTAGACATATAAGTGAAAAAGAGAGGATCTTACACAAAAGTTGAAATGTATTCAAACAAGGTAAATACAGCATTTTGTAATCTGATTTGTTCTCAAAATATTAATTTCAAAAGGACTGCTGTTTGAACAAACAAAATGTATTATTTGTGTATTCAAGTTAGGTCCTTTAACTTTAATCAACATAGATGTCGCTACACGTCAGCTCTGAGAAAGCACTGGACAGATCCATCTATAGACCTGCTGAGACTCACTCTATACATTTGAATGTATTGTCCTTTATTGGTATT